GGTGATCATGATGTTGATGACGATGATGATGATGATGGTGATGATGATGATGATTATGATTATGATGATGAGAACGATGATGAGGATGATGACGATGATGATGAGGATGATGATGTCGAGGATGATGAGGATGATTAGGATGATGGTGATCATGATGTTGATGACGAGGATCATGATGCTGATGCTGCTGATAATGAAGAAGATGATGATGATGAGGATGATGAGGATAATGATGATGATGATGATGTTGATGATGATGAGGATGATGAGAACGATGATGATGATGATGATGATGATGACGAGGATGATGATGATGATGACGACGAGTATGCTGATGATGATGAGGATGATGAGAATGATGAGGATGAGGATGATGATGATGATGACGAGGATGACGAGGATGCCGAGTATGATGAGGATAATGAGGATGATGAGGATAATGATGATGATGATGTTGATGATGATGTTGATGACGAGGGTGATGAGAACGATGATGATGATGATGAGGATGATGATGATGATGATGGTGACGACGAGCATGATGAGGATGATGATGAGGATGATGAGGATGATGAGGATAATGGTGATGATGTTGATGATGATGAGAACGATGATGATGATGATGATGATGATGATGATGATGATGATGAGAACGATGATGATGATGATGTTGATGATGACGAGGATGACGATGATGATGAGGAGGATGATGATGAGGTTGATGACAAGGGTTACGAGGATAATGATGAAAGTGGTGATGATGATGATGATGATGACGATGATGATGATGATGATGACGAGGATGACGAGGATGATGATTAGGATGATGATGATGATGACGACGAGCATGATGAGGATGATGAGGATGACGAGAGTGATGATGATGACGACGAGGATGATGAGGTTGATGAGGAGGATGATGATCATGATGATGATGACGATGAAGATGATGATGATGATGATGATGATGATGATGATGATGATGATAACGATGATGATGATGATGATGATGATGATCATGATGAGAACGATGAGAACGATGTTGAGAACAATGTTGAGGATGGTGATGAGGAGGATGATGATGATGATGACGAGGATGATGAGGATGATTAGGATGATGGTGGTGGTGGTGCTTGTGGTGATTGTGATCACTACTGTGATTGTAAGTTGTTGTCATGATATAATGTTTAATCATTATTTTTTTGTAATTCTTCACCGGGTAATTCTTCACAGAGTTTTGAGAGCCCAGCACTTTGGGGTAATTCTTCCCGTGTGTAAGATCAACCGCAACTAACTTCCAAGCACGCTTTAGTGCAGTTTCACAGATGCCAGATACGGTTGCTATGATAGCGGGTTGCGCGAAAACCATCGACGGAGTTTGTTGAGTTGATGAATAACTGACACGGTTTGACCCTTGCCATTAAAAAAAAAACGGTACGACTGGATTACTAATAGCTGGAATCAAACCTGTCATGATCCCATCATGTATATATATATATATGTACATTCTATATATATATTATACATACATAGCCTGAGGGGAACAAGACAGGAACCCATGGTTTGTAAAAATGAGGAAACGAGATGAAACTACATATGTATGTATATGTATATATATGCATATGATTATATTATCTAAGTTCAAGATAGGTGCTTGATATCCAGCTATAAGATAGGTACGCTACGCTTGGTGCGCTTGGTGCGCTTGGTACGCTTGGTACGCTTTGGGTAGGTACGCTTGGTACGCTTAGTAAAGTACGTTTGGTACGCTTACCAACCGTACCGACCGTACCGACCGTACCAGTGAACCGTACATAACCGTACCACCGTACCGTACCAGATTAAGGGGGGGGGTCAAGGTGGGGGCGTTTTGGATGTACCAATACTACTTTAGTATTGGTACATCCAAAACGCCCCCCCCTTGACCCCCCCCTTAATCTGGTACGGTACGGTGGTACGGTTATGTACGGTTCACTGGTACGGTCGGTACGGTCGGTAAGCGTACCAAACGTACCTTACTAAGCGTACCAACCGTACCAACCGTACCGTACCACATGTACCAACCGTACCGTACCAAGAAAACCAAACCTACCAGCCGTACGTACCAGACATGTTTGGATCTTACTTAAGGCCTCTACCACCTATCTTGAACCTAGCTAATGATTATACATGTATAAATTTGGATGAACCAAACTCAACTCGGCTACAACAAGTGAGAGAGGAGAATATAGCCAACAAACACTAAGCATAATTATTTATATATATATATACGTTTGAACACAGCCTCAAACCACTAACAATGAATTTTTTCAAAGGTCATCTCGTTTGCATAACTATGGAAAATTACCATTTTTAAAGGGTAAAACAACTATCAATGGCCATTTGCAATAGCTATGTTAAATTACCAGAGGGTAAGATAGTTTATAACTGAACTAGTTAAGATTTAGAATGGACGAATGGACATATCTACACTTGGATAGGTTAATGTTTACATATTTTCTTATTCACAACTTGTGGACACATCCTGTAGCAATGGTTTTCCAAAATTGGTGCAACTTGGTGCATTGAACCATCCATTTTCCGGATAAAAAAAGGTCATTGACCAACAGAGATACGCCTAAAAACGGAACCCAAATGGAACATTTCACGGACCATAGGGACATGACTAAAATATGAACATGTCATTATCATAATATGACTCACACGTGATTTTTCATAAAACATGAGGGTCTACATGGATCTATCCAATATGAACAGAGCTACCCAACATAGATTGGGATATGATTTGCTGAGTTTCCAGTGTACAATTTCCACCATAGACCCGAAAAAAAGGGCCAACGATCCGTGAGTTGGTCAGAAACCGCCATTCATATCATAGAAAGGGGCTCCTGTAGATTCCTTCGTTTTTTTGCGATTTCTTCTGCGGTACATGAGTCATGTCTTTCTCTCGCCATTCTCTTAAACATCTCTTTGAGATATCTCATGACGTCACATTCGCGCAACCCCAATCAGTTTTCGGCCGGCAGGAAGTACGACCCTCTGAATACTTTTTGCAGAAACAAAGTCCGTGTGATCCTCGAGTTTCTTCACAGATTTCATGGAAGCAACATCGTCTGCATACCGGGATTACCCATGGCTATCACACATCAGTCCCAGAGCCATGTTGAATATAAGCGACTTCAGTGGGTTTGTGGTTGAGAATATGTTGGTTGGTTGTTTCATGATTTTCGTTTGTCGGACTCTGTGTAATCGAGCTTTCACCAGCATGGAGGTTTCACCAAATTCTTGTTTAATCCCCCAGTGTTGTTTGTCGTATCCCCACTGTATCGCAATTGGTGGATTTGAAGCACCTGGCGGAGTAGTTTTGGTCCGCCGCAGATCATGATGTTGACCCATGATAAAGCAAACTGTGTACGGCTGGGGCGGTTATTAATTTTGAATAGTCATCACTAGTCATATTATACTGATTGGTGGTTTGGAACATGAATTTGATGACTTTCCATATATTGGGAAGAATATATAATCCCAACTGACGAACTCCATCATTTTTCAGAGGGTATAGGGCTCAACACCAACCAGTATATAGTATATGTTCCTATTTTTCAGGATAACCCGCCCAATTGATCAGAGTTTCGAAACATCCATCTCAATTTTACTGGTGCTTAGTAAGTAGGGAATTTTCGGGAATGATCCACTGGCTAAACTATCAATAATCATCCCAGCAACCCCCAGCATCCCCCAGCAACCCATCCAGCAACCCTACGTAAAACGCACCTTACGTAAGCAATCTGCAGTTGACATCAAGTTGACTCCCCTTCGCAGGGTCGACGTTTTCTTTCTGGCGGCGGAGGCCATGAATTTTCGCTAACATCGTTTCCGCGGATGTTGATGGGTTATTCCTCAGACATCCTGGCAAGAGGAACTTCGCAATTCAAAGCCACCACGTGTGGAATCTACCCCTTTTGAATTTGTATTTTACTTTTTTTGGTTGAATTTGCCATTGTCATTCATTGTCATTCATTGTCATTCTACATATGGCTTTGTCTGAAAACAGTTCCGACTGTGTATCCCTAAATCCATTGGATTCTCATCATTTTCCCCATACAATCCATAAAGATTTACGATGTATACCAATGTATACCCCATTTTCAGACACAGCATCACCTTCAGGATGATCAACCCCTGTACTACCTTTTTTTTAATGACAACAAACATGTCTCGTTGGGGGGTTGAAACATGTTGAAACCACCATGGAAATGATGACGACTCCAATCTCTTCCAATATCAGGGTAGAACCACCTCGGTTGCCCCAGAAAAACCGTGTTGATTAATCAAAATTGGCGGTATGATCAATGACTAACCAAACTTGGTATAATAATATATATGTGTGTGTATACCCGTTAACAATTAAACTTAAACCACGGGTTCTTAATTCTCGAGTAGCATTAGATGGGGCTTGGAGAGTTGGAGACTTGACTGTGGCCACTGGCTCAAGGCGTTGCCAGATTTCTGCACAAAGCAAAGTTGGAAAGTGCAAGACGGGGGAGGGATTTTTTTTTTAAGAGTAGGTTTGATTATGTTTGATTGATTTTGATTGATCATACGTCCCAAACCAAAAGTTTAGGAAACTAAGATGTCCAACCTTCCGGTTGATCAAACTCCACATGCACGAAGAACACAACCATTTTTTGGACTTTCCCTTCGACAGTCATCCCCATTAAATGAGTTTAGACCCCCAACACAGACCCAAATCACCACACCCTGCGACATATAAAAAATCGTGCCAGGGTGGCTATCGTTGATTCGGACCTTTTTAAAAGTGGCCTCGCCTTGACACGTTTTTCGTGGTTCCCAGCGGAGATGACAAGCACCCAGCTACATGATTGAAAAATATTGGAAACATCTCTGAAAAACCACCAGCTTCAACAAACACCCAGCTACCAGCTGAAAAAAAATGACTCAGTTAACCATCTCAAAACCATCTCAAATCAGCTGAAAATCAGGGTGCCGTGGTGCCCTTCTTCCATTGCGCCATATGTTGCGCGTCCATTCCCCGCTGTCGCAGTCTCAAACCGCCGTCACCGAGCGCCGCGAGCGCGACGTCGAGTCGCCAAGGAGTAGAAGTCCAAGGGGGTCAAGGGCGACGCGACAGGCAGTGATTGACTTAGAGACTTGTCATAGATCTGGGGTGATTTTTAATGGTTGATTCATGGATATGTGTAAATATACGTATATATAATACACACTAGAATTAATGGATATATTATGGGATTTAACTGATTTAACCAACACATATCGGGATTTTGGTTGATTATGGTGGATTTTTGGTTGATTTAATCAACGAAAAGTGGGATTGAGCCAATAATCTTATTGGGATGCAATGTGATATCTTAACAGCAATTTCATGTTCTGGTTACAGTACCCTCTGGTAAACGTTTACATAGCTATGGAAAATCACTATTTTTTATGGGTAAATCCACTATTTCTATGGCAAATTTCAATAGCTATGTTAAATTACCAGATGGTACATCTGGGTAAATTTACAACGCCCTCACTGCGACCGAACAAAAAGCGACGTCACGTTTGAAATCATGGGAATTGCTAAGTAGTAAGTATTTCAAGATATGGCCTCTTTCGGGGTGGTGAATGATTATAACTCAGCCAGCTACAGGATTGGGCACCCCAGTTATAAGTTGGTATATAACTCCATCTAAAAATATATAGTTATTTGCGTGTCATACACTATTGTTATTATAGTTATTTGCACCAACTTCGCGTTCACGAACTGGGGCCCCATCCTGTACCTTGACCAGAAGTTTTGTGGATCGTTTTTGTTACCAGGGAGCCTAGGGAGTCCAAGCATTTTTCATGTGACGAGTAGTTAGACGCGTAAAATGTCGAGTAAACCTTGGCTGGCTAGCTCAATACTTTGACCCTTCTGCCATAAGTTGGGGAATGTACATAATACCCGGTTTACCAGTTTACCGATGATATTTTTCATGCAGATTGTCTATGACCAGACATATTTTCAAACAAGTCTTGATGATCCTTGGCCAATGGTACGATGGCTCGAGATTTAATCAGGATTTGAACTGGTTTTCGAGGTTACCGGAGTTTGATGGATACTGAAGATATTGTGCTTGAATATGCATCCCACTTGGTTATGTGATAAAGAGATAGTAACAATGTGGGCAACACAATCATAAACCATCCCCAATTTCACCATTTTTATAGGTGGTATGTTTACCATTCCCAGTCATGGGTGGTTTATGGCATTGTTTTACCCACATTAGTAATCATTAACCACTAACTATTACATATTATTGCCATCATTTACCATCATTAACCATCAATTATCACCATTAACACACATTAACAACGAAGAAGCAACCGTGGTACATCCCGGTCCCTCCATGCAGTTGCTCCTGCTGAGCGCGCACATTTATCATATTTTGTAAGGAGATCAACGGGTAATTCATTGGATTGGAAGGGAACATCGAAACCGGAAACCATGTTTTTTTTTTAACCATGAAGATCATACGGGTTTCCAGTTAAAACTTTCCCTTCAATCTAATGAGTAATCAGAGACACGTAATCATCTGATATGATAGATACATAATACATGATTTGGCTAATTCATGATACATCAATTCATACCTGTATCCTCGAAAAAGCACAAATAAATGCTCATTTGCGAAATTTTTGCTTTTTGAGCGGTTTTTCTCCACATGAGCGTAATTGCACCACTTTTGGCATTTTTGCACTTGGTGCATTTTAAAGCCAAAAATATGAGCGTATTTTCCCGGGAAATAAGCGTAAATAGCCGGGAAAAAAGCGTAAATGCCCGTCCGTCAAGAAACAAATGCGCGTTTTCTAGTTCAAGTGAGCATAAAAAGTCAGAACGAGCGTAAATCCAAGTGAAAACTGCTATCAGCAGAAAAAAGTGCTAAGTGAAGATCCAGGTATCAATCATAGACACGTATTTCGAGGTAGATTGATACATTGGCCACGTTCGCCAGCTGTGACTTCACCAGCTGTGACCTGGGCCAAGAGGGGCTGCCTGGGCTGCCTGGGATCTGAGGATGATACGGAGCATGGCCTGTTAGCAGATGGACTTTTGCCCTTCTCTGTCGCTTGGTTTCAGAGATATATCATGGTAATTCATGGTATATCCCCATGATGTTAGCCCTGGATGAATATATCCATATAAATCATTATAAATCCCTATTTGTGCTGCCAGTTTGAATATGCATTTATCACTATTTCGGGGGTATCCCCATGTCACAGTAATAGTCAGGGTTTATTAATTTGAGTTTGACATTCAGGTTCATGCACAAGCACAAGAAATTCATACCAGCAGGTGCTTTGATTCACTTTTGTTGTGGTGCAGCTGAGGAGGTAAAAATGATCAACACAATGACAACAAAAAAGGGATGAGGTGCACTCTCCATTGGTTCCTCTTTTCCAACCTCCTTTCCAGATGGCAAAATCTGCAGGAAAGCCCATTTCGGAAGTCAAAGCTATGATTTCCAGTAGATTTTGCCGAAAAAAACCAATCCATTACCCCATTGTTTGATATGGACCCTGCAATGTGAGGCCCCCAAGATAGCTAAGTTGGTGAACATAACTCCAATAACATCCAATAACTATGGTTTATGGTACGCAAATAACTATAGTTACTGGGGCGAATCTAAACCAACTTATAACTGGGGGGCCCCACATTGTGGAAGCAGTTTGAATTGTGTTCCTGCGAGTCCTCCAAACAACTTGGCCTCCAGTTATGTTGGAAAATCACTCTGAGAAAAACTGGCACTTTGCGTCCTGGACAATCACAATCTATAAATGGGTAATGTAAAAAATGCGTAAACCATATGTTTCATGGAACATCGGTGATCTATTCAAAAATCAATGAACGTAGTCATGTTTCATATATAGGTAAATCATATATATATACCCTCTGATTATTAAACATAGCTATGGAAAATGGCCCAAATACAGATGAATTTCCCATTAAAACCTCCATTAACAATGGATTTTCCATAGCTATGTTAAATAACCAGATGGTTGATATGTATATATATATATATATTAAAAGGGGCCACGGGATGCCATGGAATGTTTCCCACTGTTTTCCACAGCTAAGTTAAATTTTCAGAAGGTTGGTTAATATGTTTGATGGTCATTTTGTGGAGAGTTTTAAGCGTCGTTCATCATCGGTTTTTTTTTTGCATAATGCCATTGAACCATTTTTTTGGCGAGCCTGGAAAAGATAGAACGCTGAAAGAAAAACAACAGATCAAAAGATCATCTTAATTCATATATTTCTGGTTGGTGGTTTGGATCATTCTTTATTTTTCCATATAATGGGAATAATCATCACAATTGACTTTCATATTGTTTAGAGGGGTAGGTATACCACCAACCAGAAAAATAAAAAATATATATATAATATATATTTTTGAAATGGATTGAAACAACATTGAACAACAATAACCATATCATCCCACATTGATGGATTTGGTTTGTTTTTATGCATCCTGGGATGATCCCGACGAAAATTTGGTATCAAATCACTGCAGCTTGTTGCCACGATGGCTTTGGATGGGTCAAAACATGTCAAAAGCAAAACATATTATCACCATATTTTGGTGAATAACACATCCATTCAGCAGCAATTTCAGGGTTTCCTGCCGGGTACAATGTGAGGCCCCCCAGTTATAAGTTGTTTTATAAGCCCCAGTAACTATAGTTATTTGCGTACCATAAACCATAGTTATTGGATGTTATGTTCACCAACTTAGCTATCGAACGGGGGCCTCACATTGTAGGTGTTGATGTCTCCATGTAGATCCAAGGTATGTCGAAGTGTGATCCAAGTCATTTGGGGCAAAGCCCGAAGTCAAGCACAAGCAGCACATGCCGCGCGTGATGCTTGGCGCAAGATGGATGGATGGTGCAGGGCCTGCAGGGTGCAGAAAGTTATGGCCCTCAGCAGTGTAAAAGGTACACGGGAAAACATGATTCCTATGAGTTGCTGGCCACGCGAAGTTCATAAGCCAGTTAATGATTGTAGCCATTAAGAGTTGCTATATGTTGCTACAACCATTATAAGAATTAAGACCATAATCATTAAGACCTATAATGGTTGTATCATAATAATGGGATTGTAGATACTATATGATACAACCATTATTATGATTCCTATACTACTGTCTGTATCATTGTAAGATATAAGCCAGTTAAGAGAAGTGTTGAGGGCACTGGGTCCAATGGCTTTATCGAGCTATGACAAAAAGACCGGCACCACCTTGAACGAATCTGCAGCTGTGGAGGATGAAGTTGCAACTTGAACAGGGTTTTGGAGTGCCCGGCTGACCTAGATCCACTGGTTGGTGGTTTCAAACATGGCTGGATTATTTTCCATTTCATATATGGGATGTCATCCTTCCCAACTGACGAACTCATATTTTTCAGAGGGGTAGGTCTACCACCAACGAGATCCAGATTTGGAACTTGCTTGGTGTTTGGAAATCGTCCAGAGCATGTTCCAGAAATCACCCCGCAGACAACCGACCGTGGAGGACATAAAATCGGAGTTTTTCTCGTATCGAGATGGTGGCTGCGTTCCGTTTGAAACCATCGATGGTCGTTTTGTTTTGGGACGATCCACGTTAGAACATGTTGCTGTGAACTATTTGCAATGTTAGGCAACCTATATTTAGGATGATGATGATGATTATGATGATGATGGTGATGATGATGATGATGATGATTATCATGATGATTAAAATGATTAAAATGATGATATATGGTTTCGCACATTCAGAAGGTTGACGGCACAACCAGTTACGGACGCTACATGTGGGTCTGGGTTGGGTGCTCCCAAAATGAATGCGATGAGTGCTATATGAATAGATATTAGATGATAATATATATATATATATTTGATATACGTACATTTATATATATATATATACATACATATTTGATTATATATATATATATACTACAAACCACTAAAATCTGTTTTGAGTTTTGGTCTTTGGCTCTCAGAAGCCACTGTCAAAGACGAAAGGGATCCATTTGGATAAATTCTCACATCCCTCCGTCAAATGATGGGATTTTCAGGTGTCGGAGTAACTAATCCCAAAATAGCATTATGCATTATTTCAGGTACTGAAATATTGTAATTTACCAAGTGATCCATTGAATTTATGTAAAACAACATATATGTACCCGCTTCTAATTTAGCATAGCTATTGAACATGGCCATAGAAATAGTTGATTTTCCCATTAACAATGATGATTTTCCATAGTTGTGTAACAGTTTACCAGAGGGTAAGATATTGTTGAAATCAGACTTTTCAATTTCACGTTTTCTAAACTCATCGCCTTCAGTTCATGCTTTCCAAGGAGGCTTCTGCCACGGGTATTCCGTTATCTCTGGGCAGTGGCATAGCTGCAGACATGGGTGGATGAATGTAGATCAGCTATGAGTTTTACAAAAACAAACATGGGGATATACTTTCAACATAGATAAACATACGTCACTTATGGTGGAAAGATGAGATTGTGTTGAAAGCTTAGACCATTACTAGGATTGAGGGAACTACCCCAAAATGGGATGTCTGATTTGCCTAAGGCAAACTTACCATGAAGGGATACTGAAGCCAGAGAACGCCAGAGATCATCAATGAAGAAGGATAATTACACAAACTGAGTTGAAACAATATTCCCATATGCTCTATGCATGGAGTACTTCCCATATTTGGGTCATTTTTTGGGTATATAATGGTGTATATATATATATGTGTGTGTGTGTTGGTACATTGTTACATATTCCATATATGTTTGGGGATTGATATCCTGCTGCCCAAAGCTGGCATGAGGCCACTTCAACTTTGCCATGAGAAGTGACCCCAAAACGCATCTCAATTCAGATGGGTGATTCATTATGATTTTCCCAGATAAATCCATAGTTCATATATGTTTAGCAGTAATAGGGGAATACGTGAACAATCGTGAACATCTGGTTCCAGACTATTTGGAATTGTTCAAACACACACAACCTCAAGAATCCTGTGGTTTATACCCAATTTCCTCTTTACCTTTGGTTTACAAGTTCCTCCTTAAATGGCAATTTGGGGTGTGCCCGATTTTTGCACATTTTGATACAAATGATCAGTCTCTTGCTTTTCTGACCCACAGAAATAGCCGCCAGGTGAAAATGGCGTTAGACTCGATATCCGTCGTAAAGCCTTCGCAAGGTCTTGGTGATCCTAGCTATTAATGGTACATAATGTCATGTTAAAGTTAATGCAAATGTAAATGTTAATGGCAGTGTCAATGTTAATGTTACTGTTATTGTCAATGGCAATTAATGTCGATGTTGATGTTAATCTCAACGGTAATGTTAATGGCAATGTTATATAATGTTAGTTAAATCAATTACATAGCATGACATAAGATAAATTTTGATTCTTGCAAATCTTTCTTTTGACACAACAATAAAACACCAGTCCCAGAATTAACTACAGGAACATCTACAGGAAAACCCTACATTTGATGCAACATCATCTACACAAGAACCCCTCAAACCACCGTTGAACCCCATATGGGTTTGTTCAATCACCTAACTTTGGGCTACTTTACGATGAACCCCCCAAGTTGAATCAAAAATTTAAAAAAAACCACGGTCTTTCAACATGGTTCATAGTAGAAACCCCACATGTTATACATGTTGCATATTGATGCATATTGAGATCCCCATTTTGGATGGTAAAACCGTAGAACCACCAACCATTCGCCTTCGCTATGCCACGGGCGCACGCCAAGGTAGCGAACCAAGTCAGACACAAAGTGATGAGTTGCTGGCGTCCGGGGCAGAGGAAGTCGTGTCTTGCCACGGACCGTGGTTTGGATTTTTCTTATCGCCCTAGAATGGCTAGGCAGATCTTGATACATTTGGATTTAACATGATTTAAGTACATTTAAGTGTTTTCTGGCTTAGATAAGTTTGTTATTTGTTTGATGGTGTGTGTTTAATCAATCAATCTTCATATATAAACATATGTAAACCTACATAATGTAATACATATGTATATATATATATGTGTGTGTGTCGTTGGTTGTCCTATTTTAGATGCTTGAATCCTCAGGATCAAATCGACCATGTCTGAAATGCTTTGTTTTAGGGAACCCCCTGGAGATTTTCCTGGGGATCTTTACAAACAGATGCGGAGAAGCCATGGTTTTCCATTAGGAAAGTTATTTGCATCATAAATGATGGGTTTTCCACATCGAACTGTTAATTTACAGGAGGGTAAGTCAAACTTAAATGCTATTTTGAATCTTGAATGCAATTTTAGGGCCGGGTGTTCTGTGAGGGTTTCGTAGTGACATTGGGCCAGATCCCAGTGATCAGTGAAACAAGTGTGTAGGACTGCACACAGCCAACCATGATGGAGTGCCAGATGCCCTGAAAATACCTCAAAACTGCTGTTTAGCTGTTGAGCCCGCCACACAATCCAAATCGATCAATGAAGTACGTAAAGTTTGAGTTCACACAGCCAACATATGTTCCATATGTTCCATGTATGGAATACTTGCCTACGCTTTTTTGGTCATTTTGGGATATGAGAAACGAGTTGCTATATAGCTAGACAGGCTAGACATTTTGTGTGGGGTATCACCTCCTGGATCCTCCTGGATCCCATTGGTTGATCGCCAGGTTTCAAGCGCTTTAGCTGCTTTGTTGAAAGCCTTGGATCTCGACGGCACCACACGCATTCCGCGACAGCAGGGCATGCAACGCTCACCTGCAGAGGATGTGGCTGGGCAGATTCTGGCGGAGTGGCGGAAATTTGTCGAAGATTATTCTTAGTTTTTTTTGATGTAACAAATTTGGATATATCTAGTTTTAACATTTTTTTGGATATATCATGATATATCTAGTTTTTCGGTGGTTGAAATGATTTTTCACATCCCAATCGTGTTTTGTTTGTTCAAAAAATGCTGTGTCACTGCCCCAACAAAAGGTGATGTTTTACTGCCCCATCACGACCACAGCCAACACATTTAACATTGGTCATGAGTCATAAGGATAACCCGGTTTTATGGGTCCAAGAAACATCGTGGTATAGCTGGCTGGGATGTGATGTGGAGACTTATTTGTGGTGAACAATATCACCTTCAGCGGGATGAAACCTGGTGAAGAATTCCAGCTCCGAATCGTACTTTGATCCTAGTAACTACGTAGGCAGTGGTGCTTCAAGCGATCTACCCACACCACAGGTAACAAGAGCGGGTATATCAACAACCTATACGGCTAGATCTACTTGTCGATTCAAGGCATTGGATTGATCCTAGCCGATGGGGCTCGCTTCCAAACTCGAGCATGGTTTGTTTTGCGCTCGGTTCGTGATGGGGGATGCACGTGTTTTGGGCCTTTTTTTGACCAATCATCATATATCAAGAGAGATCATGAAACTACCCTCTGGTAAACTAACATAACTATGGAACTATGGAAAATCACAATTTTTAATGGGTTAAATCCATTATAAATGGCCATTTTCAATAGCTTTTTGTATGTTTACCAAGCCGGGTACAGATTCTGCATGACCGCCAGCGAGTTGGAGGTGATTCTCTCCCGCGTGCGCACCTTATCGCTTTGTGCTGTCGCCTACTGGAAAGAAGTCTCGCAGGAGAGATGTTCGATTCTCAAACGGCTTTCAGTGGAACTCTGCTGGTTTTTGGATGTCCGAAATTCCCAGGGTTCATACATTGTGTATATTAGTATATATGTATATATCACTATATATATATACACACATAGTAATTGATAAAACACAATTACAGTATATATAACTATAATATACTGTAATTGTATTATATAATATATACACTACTATATACACTATTACATACAATGATGCACTTTTGTGCATATAGGATGTAATGCAATGGTATGGTATTCATGTAATGTGATCTCCCTGGCCCTAGCCCTGATTTTGAACTCCTCCAAAATTGGAGGTTTATCTTTGGGTTAACGACATCATAACTATATACACAGTTATACACATACACATTATTTATATATATATATATATATATATGTATGTATTATATGTATATATATATATATATGTACTATATGTATTATGTGTATATATATATATATATTAGCATATTACAGCACTTAAATAGCTATAGTGATAAATGTTATAACATTTACATCCCACAGGACCTGGGCAAGGCCGCCAGCAGCCTGGCTCGTTTCCTGGAGATGCACCGTCGCTTGTATTGGCGCCGGCCGCCCTGGCGGGGCGTGTCTTGGCAGGCATCGTCCCCGGGGGGTGATGTAAATTATATCCATATATCCATGATTAATTATGGTACATTAATAGTATGGTTAATAATTGTTTATAATAGGGTAAATTATAGTAATGGTTAATAGGGTTTATTAATGGTTAATAGGGTTTATTAATGGTTAATATGGTATATTGATATTTCATGGTCATTGATACAATAGATGAATATAATGGTTATTAATATATCCATATATCTGGGTAAATTATAGATGAATAGTGGTTAGTAATGTAATATATTATAACCATATCTGGATGTCTGGGTAAATTATCACTAACTATTATCCAATTACAGTAACAATGTTACAATGTGAGGCCCCCGTTCGATAGCTAAGTTGGTGAGCATAACTCCAATAACTATGATTTATGGTACGCAAATAACGAACTAGTTACTGGGGCGAATCCAAACCAACTTATAACTGGGGGGCCAACCATTAATATATCCATCTGGGTAAATTATAACGACCTCACTGTTCTCCCTCACTGGGAATCATGGTTAATAAGGGAAATCATCCCCAAATGGCCTTAATTCAGGTTAGTGAATATTTGTAATTTACCCAGATCCATATATCCATGGTTAGTGATATAATGGTTAATAATATGTCATTAATTCATTAATCTTTCCAGTTAATGTCATATTCCGCTTAATAGTGCTTTATCATTAATGGGTAATAGGGTTTATTAATCCAGGGTTGACATTAGTGGCTAAATGATTATATAACAATGGTTAATAGTGGTTTATCATGGTTGATAATGATTAATAACGGTTACTAATGAGCAATAATCGCTAATAATGGCTAAACATGCTTAATAATGAATTAATCATGTTTAATAGATATTAGATGATGTTTTTTTTGGTTAATAATGGTTAAGAATGATTAAGAATGGCTTGATAATGGTTCATAATGGTTTGGGTAAATTATAGTATTTCACTGAGGGATTATGACCCTCTGGTAAATTAACATAACGAACTGGAAAATCACAATTTTTAATCAGTAAATCAACTATACATTGCCATTTCCAATAGCTACGTTAAATCGCCAGAGGGTATATTATATAAAAGATCCAGTTATTTGAATGTGAATCCAGTTAATATATGGGTTAATTGAGTTAAATGATATTATTTGGATCAATATTATATATGTGTAGAATGTTAATGATTATATTCATGGTGGCTAGGGATATTTAATTATATATATATAATTATACATATATATTAGTATATATTATATTAATGGCGGTTAGGGATAAATAGGGGATAATATTTGGTTATTTTTTTCTGGGGTTGCTTACAAAAAGATCTGGAGAAGCCATGGTTTCCTATTAGGAAAACCATTTTCTTTTTATGATGGGTGTTCCTAACATTTTACAGGAGAGTAAATCAATCTTAAATGCAATTTTGAATCTTGAACGCAATTTTAGGGCCGGGTGTTCTGTGAGGGTTTCGTAGTGACATTGGGCCAGATCCCAGTGATCAGTGAAACAAGTGTGTAGGACTGCACACAGCCAACCATGATGGAGTGCCAAATGCCCTGAAAACATCTCAAAACTACTGTTTACATGTTGAACCCTCCGCACACCCGCCACAATTTCCAAAAATCGATCAACACATTGCATAAAATTTGAGTTCACACAGCCAACATATGTCCCATATGCTCCATGTATGGAATACGTGCCTACACTTGGGTCATCTTGGGTGGTATATCGTGGTAAATGGTGCATACATGGAGAACTGGTATAATCTTACCAACATAGTTTTAACAATTTTTCTTTCCTTTTGGGGTATATGTTGAATATTCAAGAAACAACGTAAATTATCTGAATGTAAAGATCCTAATCCAGGTCCAACAGGATCAAACCATTGATATCTTCAGATATACTACACAACCATATGATGGTTTTTCCTATCGGGGTTGAACAAAATCCATTTCTCGACATTTTATAGCGGTGACACTTGTGACACCCTCCCAACGTTGGGACACTTCCAACGCACGGCTCGAGGGTCAGCAGGCACTCCGGCAATGCCTGGCACATTGGTTTGTTCTACCTGTAAGGAAAAAAAATCGAGACAGAATGAACCTGGTTGGTGGTTTGGAACATGACTTTTATTTTCCATAATATGTTGGGAATTTCATCATCCCAACTGACGAACTCCATCATTTTTCAGAGGGGTAGGTTGAAACCACCAACCAGAAACTGGGATGGTTTCAATCCATACCGTTTTTCATGATTTCTACCGTGCCACGCTGCTCTGGTGATTGGTGAAGACAACGTGGCGAGGTGACGATTGTCACATGTTTTTTTGCCCGCCTTGCTCCAGGATGGAGTGGTTTTTTCCGACACTTGATGATTTAACCAGAAAGTATTTGGGCAAGCCTAGGTTAAGGCTAGTTTGATATCTATTTCTATGCATCTTTGCCATAGAAGGGGACATATAATGATGCCAAATATGAGTATCTAGGATCAGTCATGTAACATGTAAACATCTATCTATCTATATATATAATATATTATATATATATTATATATATATTATATATATTATATATTATATATATTATATATATTATATATATTATATATATTATATATATTATATATATTATATATTATATATATTATATATATTATATATATTATATATATTATATATAAATATATATTATATATATTATATATATTATATATATTATATATATAATATATATAATATATTATATCTATATATATATATATATATTATATATTATATCTATATATATATACATACACATGACATCACAAGTGATGGACTGCCATTACCAGCTTTGATTTCCATCCTGAAAAATTGCAATTCCGGAGAGTCCCAAAAATGTTCCATGTTTAAGGTATATTTACCTAGCATCTGGTTATGACTAACATAGCGAACTGGAAAATCCATGATAAATGGAGGTGTCTAGCTGGGAAAATCATCTGTAAATGGGCTATGACTGCCATGGCTATGTTAAATAACCAGAGGGTACATTTTGCAATTTTTTGAGCATATGGGAGGGGCTGTAACCGATTTCTCGTGGTCTACCGATGTTGTTTCGGAGCCCACGTTTTTGAAGGTTTCCCGAGTTGAGATTTGGATCATAAAATTCAGCTAACACTATATATATACCCTCTGGTTATTTAACATAGCCATGGAAGCCATGGCCCATAGAAACAGATGATTTTCCCAGCTTGAAACCTCCATTTATCATGGATTTTCCAGTTCGCTATGTTAGTCATAACCAGATGGTATACATACATTAATATACTGTAGTACCATAAATCCCTACTTCGGCTACTTAAGATCAAATCAGCAAACTATGGGGCAGCACCTTGTATGGTTTATTTGAACGGATTCGAAGAACCAAAAAATATTTGCAGTTCGATCTTGGAGTCAAAATCTTTACCCAAATATGGGTGTGTTCAAAGATCGGGGAGAACCCAAGTTATGGCAATTTTGATTGGAAACTAAGAATAAACATATGGATTTTGGGGTTTTCTTATAACTTCAAGCACACCCATGTGATTCAATTTCAATTTACGTCATGGACATCCAATGGTACCCTGCCAAGAAGTCATTCTCCTAGCACTGAAGGCTTTTTGTTTCGTGGAGGTTCTAACAACCATCAACCCTGATGTGTGTGTTTTTGTTGGGCCATATTGGTTTGACTGAAAACAGGGTACCTCCTAAAAAATCATTTGGTGGTTCATCCCAGTTAGTAAGCGGCTTATAACCCCAGTATACCCCAGTTGTATTTATGGTAACTGGGTTAGTTCAGCTATAGAGTTTGCTCCTCATGGGCCGAAGAAACGTCCCACACCCTTTGGAAGTTGGTTTAAAGTTAAAAGCACCATGGATATATAATTAGGGGTTTTCGAAGTCATGGGGGTATCCTAAATCAGATAATTTCGGAGGATTTTCCATGAAATTTCAAGCATCTACTGATTTTTTGGGTTACCCATGGAATGACTTTGGAAGCCCATGGAGATCGTGGCCATCCACAGTGGGTAAACAAACTTTCTGGGTCAATTTGATCACGACCGAAGCCTGTTCTCCTTAGCCTGGAATCATGGTTTATTTAAGAGGGAAATCATCCCCTATAGCCGAAGATTTCAGGTTAGTGAAATATGATCATTTACGCAGATACATGTCGCAAGCCTCTCTGTATAGTTGTTCTGTTCCAGTATTACCAGCTGGTTGGTGGTTTGGAATATTTTAACAAATTCCATATATGAAATTGATACTGCTATATGAATTGATACTGCCTGTTGGTAAACAGTCCCATCACCTCAGGCTTTTTTGGAGGCGCAGGAATTTCTGCAGAAATGCCATTTGTCCCACGCCACCGAGGTCAACTTGGGTGGATGGCTGTTGCTAGAGCCAGGGCCAAGTTTCTTGGCACGTCCGGTTTTTATCAGAACTGCTCGGTATATTAAACCAGCTTTATATACCAACATGGTTGTTTACAATACTAAACTGGATGTTTATATACCGATATTAAAAAATAAACTGGATTATAATTGGGTCGACCACATGAACCATTGGCTCTTCAGCCAACACTTTCATGACAGAACTGCATCCCAGGAAAATCTGTGTTCCAACTCTTTCCGGCAACGACGCTAATATCGGTAGCTGGGGCAACTCAAAAAAGATACCGAAGATGCCATCTCTATCGGGCAGAAAAGGCTTGAGAGAATGGCACTTTCGAGTCGTTTTTTCATGGTCCTGTTCTGGAGAATGTTTTTCCCATCTACTTAAATGATTTACCTAGTCTATAAAACTATGTAAACATTGTCATTTTCCATAGCAAGCTGTTAAATTAGCACTTGGTTTTCAGCATGCAAATCGTACCACCCCTTTTTGTTCAATTCCATTTGACTCATACACTGGTTGGTGATGGTTGGTGGTTTGGAACATTTTACAGTATTTTTTTTCATATATTGGGAATTTCATCATCCCAACTGTTACTCACTCCATGATTTTTCAGAGGGGTAGGTTGAAACCACCAACCAGTCATGGTATTGATGAAATATATCCCATAAGACAATATAAGACACCTATATCCAGATAATATCCCATAATAATGGTATTCATACCAGTATCATAGAATTGGATGATGGGAAAATTTACAGGAAAGCCCTATATTTGATGGTAAAAACCATGGTTTCCTGTAGATTTTCCCTTAAACCAATCCAATGACAGTACACCTCTGAAGGCATGTTTTTTCTCATTGGGCGGCTCTTCCGCCGCTAATTTCTTTTGGGCTCTGAAAAAATGATAAAAATGGTGATCCCTAACAGCCATGATTTCTACAGTTCGGCAATACCGCAACTTCTCATGGATACATATTATATATTATATATTATATATATAATTTAACAATAATTAAAGTGAAACATGCCAAAAACATCGATGGAACAAGCCTAATTTCCATATATATATATATATACATATTTATCCATGATTGAACGGGAAAGTTTGGAGAAGTTTGGGGTATTCCACCCTTTCGATGTTCTGAGTCGGTCCACGTCCGGCCCAGGCTTTGAGCTTTTCCAGCAGTTCGGACCCGCGCGATGTGAATGGCAGCTGCTGCAGCAGATGCGCCGGAAGCTGGGTCAACAGAATCTTGGAAGTTGGGTCCTTCCGTTATGTGAGAGCTAAGTGATTACCCTCTGGCAATTTGTTACATAGCTATTGAAAATGGCCATTTATAATGGATTTACCCATTAAACATGGTGATTTTCCATAGTTACGTTAGTTTACCAGAGGGTAAGCTACGTGGACATGCAAATGGCTTGTAAAACCAAGATGTTTGGGGGATATAATATGATATAATGGGGATTTACCTCTCAACATCTTAATAAAACTCTCCGCATCAGGGGTACAATGGGATATGTTACCCAAGAAGATGATATTCGGGTGTGGTGCTTCGTCATTGTCGCATCAACCAGTGGATGAAATGTGTTACTTGCCTAGAATCAGTAAAATGTGAAGGCCTCTGGTAAACTGATGCTTAGAAACTTTTTTTGATCAATTATGATTGAGTCTCAAGCTACCAGTAGTTGTCTGCATAAACATCAACGAATTGGAGTTTATTCTTGGGTGTATTTGGAGTATGACCCCTTGATCGATCTCAAGCCGGTGGTTTTTTGCCCAAGTGGGCGTCCAAGGAAGACTGCCGAAGTCTTGCAGGTGCCTGGAAGAGGGATGTGATTGTGATACGACTGAATTACCCTCTGGTAAACTAACATAGCTGTGGAAAATCACCATCTTTGATAGGTGAATCAACTATAAATGGGCAATTTTCAATAGCTACGTTAAGTTACCAGAGGGTAGATATCATACTTCAAGGAACTTGAAATTGGGATGAAATCCATACTAAATTTCTCTGTTAGTTGCTCATCAAGACTGCACAACCATCACTGGAATCGGGACGTACTCGGCACTTCTCTGGATCAGTCCATTGCGGACACAACTTGTTGCAGAAGGAGTGTGGTCTTCGTTGGACCCTTCGTTTGGTCCTAAAGACCATATGTACCACCGGTGGTTCCACTTGTATTCCGCTGGAAAAACGCTATACCATGCTATACCATGCTATACTCATATATTCCCAATTTTCAGCGTTCATGTTGCATTTCCTTTTGCTGGGTGAACATGATGGAACAACATGTTAGGATTATTAGGGATACACTTTGTACATTTTGGCAATCTAGTCTGGCAATAGAAGTTTGCTTTCCTTTATTTCAAATTTACTAGTCGCATGCATTGTGACACAGTTTTTTGTGGGTTCAGCCCAAAACCATCAACCATCATCAACCATCCCTTTTGTATTCTTTTTATGTCATACCCTCTGGTAAACTAACATGGCTATGGAAAATCACCATTTTTAATGGGAAAATCCACTATTAATGGCCATTTTCAATAGCTATGTTAAATTACCAGAGGGTAAGTGGGTTGATCATACCATGCTCCAATGGTCGCTTGAGTAGATGGCACCACAATGACACCCAGCTAGCGCAGGCTCATCGAAATACCTTTCTGACAGAGGAGGAGATCGGTGACAGCCGCAGTCATATCACGGTGGCCCCATAGAATGATAAGCCTGTTTCTAAGCATGTACCCTCTGGTTATTTAACATAACCATGGAAGCCATGGCCCATAGAAATAGATGGTTTACCTGGGTTTACCTTTTTTAAGAATGGTGATTTTCCATGGCGAACTGTTAAATACACAGATGGTATTTGACATTTTATAAGTGGTAAAGGGCTTCAACTGCAAGATAACAAGGTTGATCAAAAGGGTGATTTTAGCATCATGTGTAGGACAAGCATCAAAGATGTGGAGGTATAGTTGATAAATTATGATTGATTTCTGATTACATGTTGTAATCATATGATTTTATGTTGATTTATGTGATATCCAGGTATAGTTGATAACCAACATATCCATAAAATCCCATGATTTCTGATCCCATCCCATGAAATACTTATTGGTAATTTTGAACTAGCCAAGAATTGGCGGGATACCTATCAGCCAAAAAGGATTTCATGGGTATTTTGGATCTGGCTATTTTCATGGCTCAAGTAGCGAATAGTTGGCTGTTTCATATGGCAAGAACAGGGGCAACAGCAGAACAGCCAACAAACATAGGGACTACTCTGTTGTAGGTCCCTCACTATCCAAACCTCTGAGATAGGTAACTACAAGTGGATTGATGAATTACCAAACAGTTGCTTGGAAGGTGAGGGTATTATAGTTATTATAGTTGCATGTATGTGAAACATTGTGAAACGTGGTGAAACATTGTGAAACATTGTGTAGAGGCAAGAGAACTGGCTGCATGCCACGTGTAAATGCTAAACCGATTTGACCAAACACCATAGATACTGCGGATTGCGAAATTATCCCAACATGACCAGACTTAAAAATCTGGTCTGGGAGATCTGAGAAATATGATCAAGCTTTTGCTTCCCCATGTATACCCCATATTAAATTTAGTACCATGTCCCATTATGTCCCATTATTAGGGATTGTTAAACATGTATACCATCTTTACCATATTTTTTACTATCATATTGGATTGTTGCATGTACCATTCTGTCTGGGATAGTTTCATCATTTCCCAAAGAAAAATCCCATTAAATCCCCGTGTTTTCCCAGATAACTCTCCATGACTCTCTATGAGATCATCCCCATCATGCCGATCCCTTGCCATGTGAAAACATGGTATTCTAAAGCTCGACGAGAATAAAACAAATTAGTTTGAAGGCTCAAGTTAGTTATGTGTTTGTTCATGGTTTGTTTTGCTTTTGTTGGTATAAAACATGTTTAAAGATCCTTGAATTTCAAACTCGCCATCTAAACACAGACTATGTAGCCAAGAAGTTGCTGCTATGTCATCAATTACATGATGATTTCTCCTAACAGTACCAAATATACCATGGTTTTTTCCATGGTTTTAACGACGGAGTGCAGGATTTTCAGCAGATCAAGAGCAAAGGCTTCAACTCTGTGCGAATCCCTTTCGGGCCCCTCGGTCATAGACCCTGCCAGTTGTTGGAGTTGAAAGATGAGTTTCCGAACTAAAAATTTGGGTGAGGAAATCACGGTCCAACTGTTAATTTACCAGAGGGTAAATTTAGTGACTAGTGGCTATAGTTCACTTCGATGTATACCCAGTATTTAGTATTGGGATGTATACCCAATTGATGTACATTGTATAAATCTGGTTGGTGGTTTGGAACATGAATGGATTATGACTTTCCATATATTGGGAAGTTCATCATCCCAACTGTTACTCACTCCATCATTTTTCAGAGGGGTAGGTATACCACCAACCAGAAATTGATTAAATACTGGGTATACACAGGGGTTGGTAACTGTCCCATTTTGGGAATATTGGACATCACCTTATAGTAGCCATTATAGACCATATACCTAATGGTTGGGTGATGTTCAATGGGGACATTAAATGACCCATGATACATCCCACTTGACAAGTTTAGTGGTTACTGTGGCTACTGTGGTTACTGTGGAACTCACGGCGTTTATCCCAACTGGCTTATACCAGTGGTGACTAGCCATGACTAGCCTCTTTTTTCCAACCGTGGTTGTCACTTGCTTCAGTGACAAACAGGTCGTTTCGCTCCTAGTTGTTTGGGTGTCCACGGTGTTCACCGATTTAAGCCGGAACTTCAACAGCGGTTCACGAGGTTTAACCAAGAAGTTTTTGGGCATTTGGCACATGATTTCACACCATTAGCCAGCCAGAGATTTTGACCGAACTTCCATGGCTTGGTGTCGGGGATGGCGTGCCCAAAAGCCAAACTGGGGCTGTCATTGTGTAGGAAATCAACCTTGTTTTTGTTTCACCATTACGGATTGTAGAGCTAATGAACGGGGATATCAAGTATGGGTATATATCAACTGGGTATATACGCGAAACGCCTACTAACAAGAACGGACATCATGGATTTCGAGGTCCTCGAATGAATGATTGCCTGGAATGATGAGTGGAACGCGTCAATGCGAGGAACTATTCATATGATATATCAGCAAGTTGGCTACAATTTCGTGATAGGCCTTAGGCATATATGCCAACCATAGCGGGCTGCTTGTCATCCCGTTATTCCTGGTAGATGCCAGCAAGACTATCTTATTAATATGGTATTCCCATTATTAAAGCCATTTACGCACGGATTTCGATCCCATTATGGTTGGCAGATGTTCTCATTACTCTTTCCTCGGTTTAGCATTCTGGAGCTCTATTGTTGCCGCTCTTGGCCCCACGGGACCAACAGCATCCGGCCGCAGGCCGCAAGTTCATGATGGATCTATCAATTCCCGACGTGCAGCGTCAATGGGCATTCTACATATCTAAGGCATAATCGCTTAACTACATTTCAGCACGTCCGTTTCTCCGCCCATCGTCTGGAAGGGATGTGGATGTGAGGGAGCGGAACGGAGTGGAAGAGGTGGTCCTAGATATTTGATTTTGCTTGGCCGCATCTTACACATACAGATAGTATAAATACTATGAGGTCTATTGTATATATATATATATATCCGAATAATTTGATGGAAGAGGGCCGTTTTCATAAGATTTCGGTGGAAGAGATGGGTACAGAAAGAAGGATGAATGGGGGAGGGAGCAGATGGCTCTTAGGGCTCTAGGGTGCTGGAATGAAGCACACCCGAGGACATTGGCGTGGACAACGATATTGCAGTGTAGAGCGGTTTTGGCCATGAACCAAACGGCAGCAGGGTAGTGCAAAACACAACAAAAATACCCAACGGCTAGGCCTGGCTTGGAAAAAGCACTCGCCGCACCAGGCGCGCAAAAAGCGCCCGCCCCAGGCGCGCAAGAAGCGCGCGCCCCAGGCGCGCCAAGAGCGCGCGCCCCAGGCGCGCAAAGAGCGCGCGCCTACAATAGGCGCGCAAAGAGCGCGCGCCCCAGGCGCGCAGAAAGCGCGCGCCTGCAATAGGCGCGCGAAAAGCGCGCGCCTTTATGTAGGCCCTACTACCGTTTGGTATAGGTGGTTTTTAGCAACGGAGGCAACAGTTTGACAGAAGCTGGGATACAACCCCAAACAGGAGGAACACACAGACTGGGATGATTTTCCGGCGGTATACTGAACCCATAAAGAAGCTGGGCGCCCAAAGGGGCGCCAGGCGCGCAAAAGCCGCGCGCCCTAGACCGCATGTGACGGAAGGAGTTATACAAGCTGAAGGCCCAGGAGATGGAATGGTGTGAGCTTATGTTCTCACTGTTGCAATCTAATGCATTTGGGTTGGCTGCTCATTGAGAAAAGAACTGAAAGCATATTTTTTTGGCAGATTCTTTAATATCCGAAGGGTTCCTCAATATGGCTTCCATCTTGTTGAAACGGCTTTGTGGAGACTATTGAAATTGTGGACTTGCGTGTTGTTGTTTTTCGTGCTTGCTACGCAGAGCTTGAAAGAACAAGCATGCATGCCGGAACTTGAATGGACGCTTCAAAGGCCACCCTGGATGCAAACACATGGCAACACAGAACAGCTGCATCGCCAGCGCCTCTAGACCTAGGCAATCAGAGACCTTAATCCGGGCACCTTCCAGAGCTGTTCCGGGCATTCTGGATTGGGAATCCCACCAAGGAGGGTGTCGCTGTGACACCGTGCTTGGGATGATTCAAAATGCCGAATCCCACTTGGAAAGCTTAGATGGCTTGGACTGGCCACATATACAAGAGAAGCAGCTGAGGCAACAATGTTTCTTCTGATTGTGGATTCCGAATCCCACCAAGCAGGGTGTCGCTGTGACACTGTGCTTGGGATGATTCAAATTCATCAAAAGGACCAATACAGTTGAGACGATACGGGACTTGGTGGCATAGCCGCTTGAAGAGAAAGTGTTTCTAGCTTTTGGCTTGTCAAAAGAACGCGTAGAGCAGAAGATATAGAAACGATAGGCAGTACAATTTTGAGCGAACCAAGGCTTTAGATTTTAGAGTGCCACATAGTTGGACACAATTTTGCCGGCAGCACCGAAAAAGATTTGCGTCCTCTGTGATGGAGCATGCATGTGTTTCTTGAGCCCAAAGGAAATCAGCTCTTGGTGCGAGCAATGAATGCTATTGTTTTCGCACCCACGTCGCAGATCAAAATTCAAGCCATGTGCTGCTGACGGCTACAGCCGGGAAGAATGGCTGCGTGCCACAGTGGCCAACTGCTATATTCGCGTTCCGTCGCGTTGCAGCATATAATGTTGTATGTAAGTCCTCCGCCATGCCCTTTCCAGTTGGCTTTGGGGGGGTGCTGTTCTTGGCTGGGTCTTCATCTTTTGTGCCGTCTCCAGTCCAACCTCATCGGCATTCTCCGCCTTCTTCCCTTCCATTGCATCCCGGCAGCTTACGCTTGCAGTTCCCCAATGCCTTTGTTGGTGAAGCCGAAATCCAATTCCACAATGGCCAAATGATCTACAACTACCTCTGCTAGACTCATGATGTGTGAGCGCGATGAAAGTTTCCAAACTTTCTCTTGAAGTCAGCTCAGCAGTGGCAAATCCAGACACCGCACGGCTATCACCTTAAGACGCAATGCGAAATTCCGAAATTCACCGGCTGCGCCTTGACGCTGGAGATCTTAACCTTTCACTCAAGATGCACCTGCTCCCATGTGCTGGACTTGAGTGAGATAGGCAGGGGCCCCAGAAGTCATTGGGCTGCAGACATTTGGAAAAATATTCCCATGCGAAAGACGGCAACTCTGGCAACGGCTTCAGGTGTTCTTAGGGGGGCTCAGATAGGAATTCAAAACGCTGATGGCGAAATCAGGGCCTGCGGCGCGCACACCGCCACAGGTTCTGCAACAATGTTCTCCAGCACTTCATATTTCACAAGCCATCAGTTGAAGTTTGCTGGTGCGACGACAGAACGTGTGCAGGTGAAGCATGAATCCTGAGCCTTTCGGTTTCCCTATCGCTATCGGCTTGCAGTGTGTTCTTGAGCCGCTCAGCATCAGTGAAAACGGCCTTACTTGATTGCAATGTGACAATGTGTTCCCTCAATTGCCCGGTCATCTTCTCAGGGACGGTGCTTGCCCGTGACGGGCGGGATGACTATAGCGAAGCATTGTTGCCAAGCAAACTTCACCTGGAACAGAGGAAGCGCCTGCTCCCATTTAATCTTCTAGTACTGGTAGATGGTCTGATAATTAACGAGTAAGTCCCACAATCCAAAACAGTAATTTAATGAAAGCATTGATAATCGATGATTATAGCTGTTACCAGGTGTCATTGTGTTTGCAACTCTTTAAACTTAAGCTGTGGGTGCTACTGTGGTGGTTCATTCTGCTTCAACCTGGATGGACCCATCGCCACTGGTGGCGATGATGTAGGGGCTTGTATTTATCCACGGATGATCGGGCTGAATTCTGATGGCCTCAAAAAAAGGTTCGGTAATATTTTTTTTTGCCATGCCTTTTGCTGTCATATTATTGGTCGATGCGAATTTGCTTCGCAACTGGAGAAAAACAACCAATAGCCAACCCCACGGTCAAACTGCTGTTCCTACATAGTGGCTGTTGTTTCGAAGTTGTGGGAACGGCCCATTTACAATTGGGATTATGGAGATTGTTGACTTAAACACACTTCACCATGTCAACAAGGGTGATATATTCACCAGGAACAATGCAACAAACTTGGTAAGTGGACAGCAACTGGCAATATTACTTCTTAGTTATTAGTTCCTGGTTTGTAGCAGGGCTGCACGCTGGTTGGGATTGAAGATTTCGACATAGGTTCTTCATTTCCCACAAAGATCGGTCGAAGGAATTGTTTTTTTGGATGAATCTTCCAAGAAGATCCTGTCGATAGTAGATGTTCCTGTTGATATTGACGTTCAATATAGACCAATAATAGATCATCCTGACCAAAAAACATTAGACTGCGGGTTCAGTACAGGAACATGTCAAAGACTACAAAAAGGTGAGACCCCCCAGTGATGTTTGTTGGTTTATAGGCAGCCACTAACAACAGTGAGTGAAATATGCTCCCATAAACCCAAACGGTAACCGCTCGGCAAATGTGCGTCAATACCAAACTATCCTTTGGGGATGTGAAATTGAATACCTCTGCACTCTTTGGTGTCCAACTGATGCCTGGGATATCCAAAGGTGTAGCTTCCACATGAAGCGGCAAGCTGGTGATGGTTTTTGGAAAAGTCACCAGGTAGCTTGCAGAGAGAACCAACAACCTAGAACCTCCGTTAATGTCCGTAAATAGTCATACTGTTTAATTACCCATAGGGTTTGCAGTTCTACTTAGTGAGTACCAACAGAACATCCTAGGTTATCATAGTTTATCCACAACGATCGGTATTTTATTCACAATTTCACCATTTCTCTTAGGTAATTATTGGGCTCTAGGCAACAGAATTTGTGGTGGTTTTGAGACCCCAAGTGCTGCTGAAGAGCAATTCTATGAGTTTTCAACAATCACCTGGTTGCAGATATGAGATTTCAATGCATTTCAATCATCACTGTAAGCATGGTGGTAAAACATGGTAAAACACCATCAGAGATTGTTGTCTCAACTTGGAAAAAAATGCGGATGTCCTTTGGGTTTGTCTCAAAAAGGTCAGCCATACGGAGGGCCCCGCAGAAGCAGCCTGGCCCCTCTACTCGACTCCTTTGTCCAGGTATTGGATTGTCACTGGACCCTCGAATGGGGAATCTTGGCGGCGCTAGCGGCAGCGGCAGCTGCTGTGTCTGCGATGGTTTTATAAATGGCTTGCTGAAACCTGCCACTCAAGTTGGCTCCCTCATTTTTGGTGACCTGTAGAATCTGTAGTACCTGAAAAAAAAGGTGCTAAGGCATGAAATACACATTTGTGCTCGTAGTATCCGTTAATGATAATGTTCATTGACTAGCAAGCCCATAGATATTGTAGCCAGCAAGAAGTGGGATAGACGAATAGAGCCATTTACAAAACTCGTAACTGCAAAACTGCTTGTTTCAAACATGTTTTATTTTCCATAATATATAGGATGTCATCCTTCCCATTGACTTTCATATTTTTCAAGATGGTTTTTCAACCACCAACCAGATAAATATCCAATAACCAGTAATTCTTGTTATCCATGGTCACATCCACGAACATCCCGATCGTCAAATCCCATGATCTGGAAAAAAAAACAGATTGATGTTGATTCTAAGTACCCTCTGGTTATTCAACATAGCCATGGAAAATCACCATTTTTAATAGGTAAACCACCTATAAATGGGCCATCTATACCATGGCTATGTTAAATAACCGGAGGGTATGGACTTTCAGAAAGGGATTGATTCGGGATTGATATCAGATTCATTGGTTTCTGGCTTCACATTTTCTGTAAGGTGCACACTTTATGACCAGGATATCCTGGTTTTCCCATGGTATGAGCTGCGTTGATTTTCATCACTATCTGAATGATCCTACGATCGAACTGCTGATGTGGCAAAGCTGAAAGTGGCAACTGGCTACTTGAAGCTCACCAATGTGAACAGCTTTGTTCTAAAGTTGACTGGTGGACTTGAGTTCACTGATTCAACGAAGGTGTTTGCTGCCAATTGTGGATTCGCCGCATGTCCAGAAGACCCCACTCCTGGAGTTGAACTGGACCCAGCAAATGTTGCTGGTCACGTTTCGCTTCTGAATCGATTCAGAGCGGAAATTCTCCGAGATCAGATCCATCCTGCAACACTTGTCCTACTTCTTGGATGTTATGCTGAGAATATTGGATTCAATGCAGCGTTGAACACTGCAATTCTGCTCACTTATGATGCGGCGGACACACGAATGGGATGCGCAACGACAACCTTTTGGACTGGGGATGATCTTGAGAACGACCATCCTGGCACTTTCTTCTTTTTGGCGTCGTTAGACCTTATGCTGCGCTTTTCACAACTCTTTTTGGCCTGGAGTACATCCAATGCAGTGTACTGTCCATAGCCATACCCATTGTTACTTTTTCTGTAGGTCCAATGTGACATTTATTGGCGCAGAGTTTTCCTTAGAACGTCTTTGGATTACCGTATTGTCACAGACTGTGTAATATCCATGAATCTCATGAATAGTATATCATGGGATTTATCATTATGTTTCTTAATGGTTATGGATATTATCATTGCATATACAGATATACATATTAATAACCATTAGTATTAATATCCATGAATCTTGAATGACATCTCTTACCAAAATCTGCGTCTCTTAATCATATCTTAATCCCATGATATCTCTGGAGCGCCAGATCATGGTAGCGTTTTGTCATATGTCATATGGCGTTTTGCCCGGTTTTTTTCCCTTTTCTTTGTTGCCATATGACAAGCCATTGCTGCTTACGATCCATCAATCGTCCCATGAGATCTTAAGATCCATGGGTTAACAGCTCCTTAGCCTCTGGTATGAAGAACTGGTAATTTTTATGGTTAGTTAGTAGTGGTTCATAATGGCTAATGGTGATTTATGGTGATTAATGATAGTTAATGGGATTCATCCTCTGGTTATGTCAACAGTTAGGGAACTTGAACATGGCCCAGTCGAAATATTGACGTTTCCCAGTTTAATAACTGGTGATGTTCCAGTTCGTTTTTTGTAAACGTTTACCAGAGGGTATCCACATTGAATCCCCATTATATCCCATGATATTCCATCAAATCACCATTATATCCTATCAAATCCACATGAAATCCCCATTAAAACACCATGAAATCACCGTTTTTTCCAGAGGGTAACAACCAGCCAGACGATCCGACGATCCGATGGTATCGTTTCAGTTTCAGGACGTCTACGTGGGGCCAGCCCTGGAATTCTTGGACCGCGCTTTGGGTTTCTGCAAGACGCTGGGGCTCCAGGTGGGAGACCGAGACCGAGACGGCGAGACGGAGACAAAAACGACTTGGTCGAAAGTTTGAAAGTTTGGGTGGGGTGTTTCACAAAAAAAGAATGAACACATGATGAAAAATGGTGGTTTAACCCAGGATTGATTGATGTTAAGTGTTTTTGTAACATGTAAACGTACATTTGAGTCATCATTTGAGAATGAACTGTTAATGTGTGGCCGATGATATACATAATGATAGGCAAATTACCTTTATAAGAAGGATTCTTATGGTCTTTGGTAGCTGTAGGTAAATAGTTGGAGGGGTTTACAAACTGACTTTCCAAGCTACGGTGCCCCATTTTGTGAGTTTATCATGGTTATGTTGTGTTAGGTTTACAAGTTCCGTTGTTTGAACATGATCGAATGTTTTTGAACATAGACCTTGAAATTAGCCTACTGTAACTCAATATACTTGAAGATACGCTATTGTTTTACTAGCTACCGGAGACAAAGGGTCCTGGTAGCACGTTTTGAAATTACTTTGAGGTCGTAGGTGTTTGAAACCATGCAGCTCAAAACATGTAGACACAAACAATCGCAAACATGTGCCTTCCTCCACGGGGGTCATTTGTTTGGTGTGAACTATTGGTGGTAAACATATTGCACACAATGTAACATGTTTTATGGTTTTGCTGAAAGTGCGAACGCTTAAAATCTACACGATTCTGGATTTTCTGGAGGTGATTCTGATTGTGAATTTCCTTCTGAATAAAGCCATCATTCCGGGAAAATATACTTAAAATATGTTAGTAAGTGGGTGTAATCCAACCATCTTAACTACACTTTTTATTTTCCTTTTGCTGCCGGCCTTGCCAGGGATAGCAAGATGCATTAGCTGCTTCGCTTTTAACTTTCCAGCCTTGATTTCTTAGATTTGTCTCGCCTTCCAGCGTCTTATCTACAGTGCTTAGCTTAGTCCTGTAGGGCGTGCGGGATTGACTCGCACCTTCTCAACCTATCATTTTCCAGCTTGGGCTGGGCATTGCATTTAGCCTTTTGCTCTGGCCCTTCCATTCAAGAGAAGGCCTAAATTCAGTGGCCAGTGTACTACAGTTTTACCATGTTTTACCCTCATTTTTTACCATCTAACACTGTCTAACACCCAATCTATGCCCCATACCCATATGCTCCATGTATGGAATATGTACCTACATTATTTTTGGGCTAAATGTAGGTAAATATTCCATACATGGAGCATATGGGATATATGATGTTTCCATGATCTATGTAGGAAGCGGTTGATGCGCAAGCTTCGCCACCAATGTGGATCAGATCCATGCTGGGTTTCCCTTGGGTTTTCTACATTCTGCTCTGTGTGTTGATCCCAAGGTATGTATGCAACATGGTAACATGCTCCCATTATAGGTATGATATCTAGCCTCTGATAAACTAACAGTTTGCGAACTGGAAAATGGCCCCGTCGAAATAGTTGATTTACCCATAAACGATGGTGAATTTCCATAGCTATGTAACAGTTGACCAGAGGGTAACCCATGTAAGCCATATTACATTATAGCTGCGAGGTTTTTTTCGGTAAATAGGAACCTCGCAACGACTTACAGTAATTTTACAGTAACCCATGTTTTTCCAAAGTTGACCGTTGTCTTAAATGCAATTCGAGCTGAATTTGGGAGTGAGGCTGGAGTGCCAAGACCAAAAATCCCAAAATGTGGAGTCAATGGACCTGTGTTCTCCAATGATGTCAGACCGAATACCCGGCCATAGAAACTTCGTTGATTTTCCCATGAAAAATGGTGGATTGTTCCATAGTTATGTCACAGTTTACCAGAGGGTATTCATTTTCAGAAGGCGGAAGTTTCAGTGGCACGTGACAAAAAGGGTCAGCATTCAGGAAAGGATAACCGGCGGCCCGCCGATCACACCAAGGTGAGGGGAATGTGATCACTCCATAGGGGTTGAATTTATATATGGAAGACCAGACACCATAAACATCCAGAAACCATATTAATCCACCTTATGGTTTACTCACTTGGGGTTTAGACATACCTCACTTTATGAAACTACGCGTCTTAATAACCACTGGTTGGTGGTTTGGAACATGTTTTCTTTTCCATTTCATATATGGGATGTCATCCTTCCCATTGACGAACTCATATTTTTCAAGATTGTTAAAACCACCAACCAGACCACCATAAACATCCAGAAACCATATCCCAACAGGTTCTCTTGGACCTACATGGTGCGCCCGGGGGAGAGAGCGGTGAGACACCTTGTGGCAGAGATGCTTGGCCGTGGCGACGGCGGTGCCCCAGGTGGCTATCGTTTAAAGATTGGGGCTGTTGTGCCAGCAAAAATGGTGATTTTTCATGGATTTGGTGATGGGATTTCATGAATTTGGTGTTAGCTAAATTGACAACCATAGATCTGGGTAAATTATAACGACCTCACTACGACCTCACTGGAAATCATGGTTAGTAAGGGAAATCATCCCCAAATGGCCTTAATTCAGGTTAGTGAAATATTATAATTTACCCAGATAGATGAAATAACTAAGAACTGTTGGTTTTAATGGTCAAGATTAATGTAGTTTTTTAGTTGGACGAGGGAATATTAAACTGGGGGATGACCGACAAAAAAGAGGCCGTTGAAACACGGGGGGATGGTGAACCATGTCTGACTCAATGGGTACCCTCTCATTTCAGGCAAAACCCAATATATATGTATATATATATACAATATATATATACATGTAAAAAGGATATACATATATATGCTTATGCAAAGTAGGTATTATATCTAAGTGATTCTAAATGTCTTATCCCAACATGTGACTTAATATGTGAGTTCCCTTCATGAATCAATGTCTTGCCACTCAGGAAATGAAAGACTGGCGGTGGGAACAGTGGCGACTTGACGAATCTCTCGAGGCAGACTTGGAGATGATGATTATTATTGGTAGGGTTTAAACATATCAAATGGGATTCGTATGATATTAATGGTGTATTCATGGATAAAAAAAAGGACACTCTGTTTCTCTGACATGAAACAGGGATGAAACCTGTAAATGATTTCATCATCCAGTTCTGGGACAGATGGGATATCCGTGTAAATCCATTAAAAGCCCTTGTTGATTGGTGATAATTATTTGATGGTTGTACATCCTGGCCTCTGATTGTTAGCACCCACAAAGGCATCAATTGGGATCCCTATGAACCAACCAAAAAAAAACCTTTGGTAATTTGTTACAGTTTGCGAACTTGAACATGGCCCAGTCGAAAAATCGTGACTTTTCCCAGCTTTTTTCGCATGGTGGATCTTTCCAGATCCTTATGTAACAGTTTACCAGGCCAGGTAATGAGATAGACGGGATACGGGATCCAAGCCTCTATATCCAAGCCTAGATAGGGTCTACATATCCTGGAGACCGAGGACGACAAGCACAAGCATCTGCAGAACATAGCCGTTTTTTTAGCCGTGCTGTTGCTGTTACTTTCGACCTTGGTGTTTCATAGCCAGAACAGAATGGTAAACACATTTCGAGTCACCATGGTGGGTGAGATACTCGACCAACATGACTTATTCCCATAAGTCATCCATTGTGGATTGACTATTTTCATGACACTTAAGATATTCATTTCTAGCAACCCCCCATAGAACAGAACAGAAAAAAAAGAAACCTGGAAAGTAGTCCGGGACAACACCATTTACTGTAGACCTTTCTGGTAATTTCTAACAAAAAGCTATTGAAAATGGCCATTTATAGTGGATTTTCCCATTAAAAATGGTGATTTTCCATAGTTATGTTAGTTTACCAGAGGGTACCTTTCTGGAAATATGTTTTCTATCTGGGGTTGCTATATGATGAACAGTCATAATGAACAGATACCCTCTGGATGTCCCAGCGAGCCACGTTTGATTACCTGAGAGTACATATTTGTCATTTGTTATTGACTATTCATTATATTCATTATATGCATTGTAAACAGTGTATGCTTTATATTCATGATATTCCCCTATATTCATCTATGATGAATTCCTAGTCACCATGAAAATGTACGGTATATTCCATCATTAATCATTATATAATTTAGTGATCAAACACAATGACTGACTATCATTTGATTAATAGTCATACAACATATAGTTATAGTTTCTGGTTGGTGGTTTGGAACATGTTTTATGTTTCCATATATTGGAAATATTCATCCCAACTGACAACTGACGAAATAATTATTCAGAGGGGTAGGTCAACCACCAACCAGATATAGTTATAGTTTAATTATTCCCATTAGTCATTCCCATTTGATAGTTAATTATCCCACTAATCATTCCCATTAATTATCCCATGTGATCATACCATAACTATTGATTATTCTAATCCTTCCACTAATTATTCCCATTCGTCATGGCTTTTGACCACCCCGGGCACCCCGTTCACAGCACCCCGCGTAAAAACCGCGTAGGCGCTGAAGGTCATTGCCACACGCTACAAAGGCGCGGCCAAGATTCACAACGGTGAGTAGAAGTTGGTGAGTGTCATTTCGGAAACTTCAGAACCAAAGATACCCTCTGGTAAACGTTTACATAACTATAGAACATCACCATTTTCAATGGGTAAATCAACTATAAATGGGCTATTTTCCAGTCCGCTTTTTGTATGTTTACCAGAGGGTTTTCACAGTTTTGTTGGCCTAAATTGACATGGTTATTTTCCTTACTTTCGTCCGGAGCAACCAGCATGTGAAACATTGTTTTTTCACATCCGTTCCCTATGGATCCCTAGGGGTTTGCCGTACCTTCTCAGACAGTGGCCATGGATCCATTGCCGGGCAAAGATTTTTTTCAGTTTTGGTGATGACGAAAAATTCTTTGGTGAATGAGTTATCAACTTTATCCAGCTAGATTTATTGTAGATAACCAACGAATAGACTTGAGAACCAGTTGTTCATAAACTTAATAGCTAGTTGGTTGCCCTCAAGCAATGAAACCTGGCTGGCTTGAAAACAAGGAAACGTGTTAGTTCGATGATTCTCCAACCTAATACCCATAGAACATTGCAGGATGGGTCCCCAAGATAGCTTTCATTTGCCTTCTTTCAGTGGCTGAATTCTATGGTTTATGGTAGATATAACATGATATAACCATAGTTAATCGATGCTAATGGGGTTTATAAACCAACTTATTTCATGGAAGATAAGTTACCCGGCCTGGTAAACCAACAGTATTCATGGGGGCCCCATCCCGTGGGATTCTGAAAACGTGTCAGCCATGTTGCTGGGAAGTTATACCTTTTCATAACTTGACTAAAACATACAGGATGGCCCCCCCCGTGATGTTTGTTTGTTAAAAAAAACACCACCATGAATACTAGTTCGTTCTCTATAGCTATATCTACCAAAAACCATAGAATTCAGCCACTTGTATCTCAACTTAGCTATCTTGGGGGCCCCATCCTGTACTAAAGCAATAGGATAATATGCAACCATGAAAGGTTAGTTTCAACCTGACTGAAACTGCTTATATAGTAATATAGTGATTTGATGAGATTGAACATGATTCAACAAAGGAACACAGATTTAACATGTTCTAACCACAAAAAAAGACAATTGGTATGTAGTCATTGCAATAGTATATCCCATTTTTAGTGATTACCTTCCGGTAATCAGCTCCATGTTTCGCTGGATAATCTCCATTTCGTTCGATCATCCTCAGCGATCTCAACCTGCGTGGCGTCGGGTTCGAGTACCATAAGTTGCTTGGTAAACCCCACTACCATCCATTCATCATCACATTGTTATACCTTTATGATCCATTGATGACCATGGCTTAGCACAATTGATACCCTCTGGTAAACGTTTACATAGCTGACTGGAAAACGATCCATTTAGTTCGATGTTTTGTTTTCCCGTTTTTGATCTAATGGTGATGTTCCAGTTCAACTCGCTATGTGAGTTTATCATAGGGTCACGTTTCCCCCAGTGAAATAGATTGTAATTTACCCAAACCATTATGAACCACAATTAACCGTTATTAGCCATGATTGAGCATGATTAACCATTATTAATCATCATCAACCATGATAAACCACCATTAACCATGATTATTTAACCATTTAGCCACTATAGATTACCCACTATCAACCACCATTCACAATGATTACCCTCTGGTGAACTAACATAGCAATGGAAAATCACCATGTTTCATGGGAAAATCCACTATTTCAATGGCCATTTTCCATTGCTATGTTAGTTCACCAGAGGGTAACCATTCTGAATCCGTATCAACCACCTCTGCCCTGGCCTAGCTTCAGGGCATCCATCCGTGAGCGGCATCGCCGTCTGCAACGAGCCCAGTGAGACTCTGGGACCGCTAGGACCGCTAGGACCGCTAGGAGCGGCTTCAGCCGTTGGTCGTTTTAGGGTGCTGTAAAGAACCATACATTGGTTAGTAATGGTTATTTAACAGAAATGGTGTGATGATACACCCCGTATATAGATTAATAGTGGTTCGTAATGGTTAATAGTGGTTAGTGGTATATTATAACCATATCTGGATATATATATATATATGGGCAAATTAAAACGACCTCACTGTTCTCCCAAAGCCTGGAAATCATGGTGAATGTATAGGGGAATCATCCCCAAATGGCCGAACTATTCAGGTTAGTGAAATATTATAATTTACCCATATATATATATATATATTATATATATATCCAGGTTTTCTCCACTGTATACCATACATTGGATAGTTATGGATAGTTACATGTTCTATCATGTCCCATTTATATCTTATGAAACACCATTAAATCACACTCTGGTTGGTGGTTTTGAACATTATTTTTTCCATATATTGGGAATAATAATCCCAGCTGACTTTCATATTTTTCAGAGGGGTTGAATCCACTGACCAGATATATAATATGATGCGTAAATATATATATATATATATCAATGTATATACGTATAATTATATAATTCTAATAATAATGATTATACTGTTATAATAGTAATAACAATAATAATAATGATAATAATAATAGTAACATATAGGCAGCTTACTATTTTTATTGTTACTGCGCCATGTGCACCCCAGGTAGGGGGTCAATAACAACCACCCCAAAAACAAGCTGGGGTGAATCCAAACTGGGCAAATATATATATATATAGAGAGAGAGATGAATAGTGGTTAGTAATGGTTAATAGTGGTTAGTAATGGTATTTAACAGAAATGGTGTGATGATACACCCCGTATATAGATTTATAGTGGTTCGTAATGGTTAATAGTGGTTAATTAGTGGTATATTATAACCATATCTGGATATATATATATATATATCTGGGCAAATTAAAACGACCTCACTGTTCTCCCAAAGCCTGGAAATGATGGTTTATTTTTTGAGGAATCATCCCAATAGCTGGCCGAACAGTTCAGGTCAGTGAATTATTATATTTTGCCCAGATCCAATGTCTAATTTTTCGGTCCCACTATGGTAACTATGGTACCCTCTTGGTAACTGTCAGGCAGTGTATAGTGAATACAGTGATGCGGCTGCCTTCTTCTCAATATGCAGCGCCCATTTTCGAGACCCTGGTTGAATGTAGATTTGTGTCCATTGGGGGGATGGAATCAATAAGTCTTATCATGCCGCTTAGAAGGGTAGTCTTAGATCATCTTAGATCAGTGCCGTATACTGGTACCATGTTTATTACTGTTGCAAGTTGGCTCGCTGATGACAATGAACCTGAAAATTCCAAGTGAATCTCTACTATACAATGAAGTCTTGTGGTACGGGTTCCTTTATAGATAAAACGCCGAATCCACCCACCACTTCGCACCCACTGCTTGAATTGGTATAGCTTTAAGGCTCCACTTTTTTTAACCAGCAACTTTGGCACATTTCTCCAATGCCGTAATGCCATAAACCTCCAATTTTCTATGGATTAAATTGGATTAAAAACCGTTAAAACATCTTAAAACAATGAACATTGGGGATACCGCGCCAAGGAAGGTGCCGGCAGATGTGCTATGTCAGTTCTATGATCAGGTGCCTCTTTGGAGATGACGGGGGTCCATGTTTCAACAAAAATATGCAGATTTAATAGAAATGGTGTGATGATACACCCCGTATATTGATTAATAGTGGTTATTGATGGTTAATAGTGGTTAGTGCTATATTATAACCAGGTCTGGATATCTGGGCAAATTATACCGACCGAAGCCTGTTCTCCCGAAGCCTGGAAATGATGGTTTATTTTAAGAGGAATCATTGGAATCAAGCCAATAGCTGGCCGAACATTTCAGCTTAGTGAATTACTAAGTTATCTGGTAATGAATTAAGGGTTTAAATCTAAATAGTGATGGCTAAGGGTTTATATTCATAAGGTATCTAAATAGGGTTTACTGGTTATACTGGGCTGTAAACTGATATTGAATTATGATCATTTGCCCAGATTGGCGGGTTCAATCGATGGACCCTTTCTCCGAAGAACCATGGAACATGGTGAGAAACTCATGGTGGAATAGATGTGTATCAATGTAGCAACAAAAAGATGGTGGAACATGATGGACAATGATGAGAAAATGATGGCAAATGATGGGAACTGACGGAAACAAGCGTGTCATCATGTGTCATCTAGCGAATTGATGGGCTATTTTACAAGCTGGCTGGTGGTTTGGAACATTTTTTATTTTCCATCTATTGGGAATTTCATCATCCCAACTTGCGATTCGTCATATTTTTCAGAGGGCTAGGTATACCACCAACCAGTCATGGTATTGATGAAATATATCCCATAATACACGATTATATCCAGATAATATCCCATAATAATGGTATGCATACCAACATGTACCATAAATATCCCATGTTTATTGGCAATCAATTCCGTCCAGTTGTTGGTAAAAACTGTTTTGATGGTTCGATCCCCAGTGGTTGAAAAACTGGCTGATTTTTACAGGAACCTCCAATGTTTGGGAGAAAAAAAACATGTGTTCTGGTATGTGTTTCCCTAAACCAACCCATTGAGTATCATATTTCCAAAATATATCCAAAACACATTATAATGGTTGGTTTAGGGTATTACGTCTATATATAATATATTGGGCATTCTATTTCCTGTGATACGTATTAAAATATATATAAATCCCATATGCTCCATGTGTGGAATATTTACCTACATTTTGGTAATTTTTGGGGTTTTTATGTAGGTAAAAATATTCCATACATGGAGCATATGGGTAATGTCCAGTGTAACATATCATAAATTCCCTATGAAAATGGATAGATTCTTCCCACCCAATTCATGGGAAAATACATAGCCTCTGGTAAAAGGTGGCAACAAATTCCCCGTTTCGTTCGATGATGTTCCCGCTGAAACGAAACCTTCATGGCTCGGGGATCGGGGACGAGCCAGCCATGTTTGACTACCGAAGGGTATCCCTATTAACCGATTGCATCACTGAATCACAATGTTTTTTGGGTTTTCCATCATGTTAAATCCAATGAAATCCACCGTAAAATAGGTTCGTTAGTACTTTTCATCCACCAATTTTCAGTGGCTTATAAGTCATAAGTTATATCTCACTGTTTTAATCTCTAGTAGTTAAATTATATCATCTTATATCCGATTCTTCATCTCTACAATGTGGGCCCCCCTAGATAGCTAAGTTGGTGAACATAGCTCCAATAACTATGGTTTATGATACTTATAACTATAGTATTCATGGAGTTTATAAACCAACAAACATCACTGGGGGGCCCCACATTGTACCCATATTATAGAATATAGAATATACCCATTTTATAATACCATAGAATAACCATATGGTAATATATTGGTAAAAAATACTGTACCCATAGAATATTACAATATATTATATATAGCCATGTGCTAAAAACCTTACTGTAGCATATATGGTTACTACTCAGTCTGATCTCATATCAACATTTTTGCTAGTCATTTGTTATATATTCACTTAACTAACCTCTATTAGTTAAATTATATCATGCTATATCTAATGTTTAATCTCTATTAAATCCATTATTAGTAATCTAAGAATGGTATATCTAACATTATTAATCCATTATCAATGATATCACCAATCATATATATATATATATATTAATGGATCAATTATTAAATCACCTACCCTCTGGTAAATTAACATAGACCCTGAAAATAGCCTAGTTTTAATGGAAACTAATCTTCCAACCCCTATCTGCCAGGGTCTATGTTAATTTACCAGAGGGTAATCTCCCCATTTTCTGAACCACGCGATGCGTTATGCGTTGGGAGGCGATCCAAGCCATTCGCTCATGTGGCATGGGCCCAGAAGAGGTGAGCATCGTGCTGCCCGTGCCGCTGGGCATGGTGAAGTTCGTTGTATTTGAAGCCATTAGTATATATAGTAGGGTATGGATCAATACCTATTAATACCATTTTTAGGGGAATGAACATCCATTTACCAGCTATGTTGATATAGTTAATATAGATGTTAATAGATGTTAATAGATGTTAATAGATGTTAATAGATGTTAATAGATGTTAATAGATGTTAATAGATGTTAATAGATGTTAATAGTCAATATATGGATATGGTTAATATATAACTATATTAACTATATTAACTATATAACTATAGTTACATATGGTTAATAATATGGTTTTTAAGCCATTAGTATATATAGTTAATACAAAGTGGGGCCCCCAAACGATAGCTAAGTTGGTGAATATAACTCCAATAACTATGGTTTATGGTACTTATAACTATAGTTCCTGGGGTTTATAAACCAATTTATAACTGGGGGGCCCCACATTGTAGTTTATAGTGAATATGGTTAATAGTTAATCCATAAATAAAGTTTATATATATATTGTTAATACGGTTAATATATTGTTAATATGGTTAATTTTTATTGTTTTTTAGTATGTATAGTTAATAGTTAATCCATATCTGGTTGGTGGTTTCAAGCATGTTTTATTTTCCATAATATATGGGATAATCCTTTCCATTGACTTTCATATTTTTCAAGATGGTTGAAACCACCAACCAGATATAGTTAATACTTAATGGTTCATCTTTATTATGATAATCCAACATATTCCAACTATCTATTTACAATGGTATTGTATCCATGGTTATCATTATATTAACGGTCATAGTGCTACTCAGTTATCACTCGGATGAACCATTCTAATCCAACTTGGATATTTAACGCAATAACTAATTGATCAAGTTATATACATACACATATACATATGTATATACAGTAAACGGTATTATTTTTATAGATACCCATTGTATCTGGGTAAATTGGAGTGACCTCACTGTGACCTCACAGCAGACTCCGTAGACTATGGTTTAGTGGGGCTAACTAAATTTAAAGTCAGTAAACTATAGTTGATTTTCCCATTAAAAATGGTGATTTTCCATAGTTATGTTAGTTTACCAGAGGGTAATTATATGATTGTGCTATTCATGTATAGTGGGATTATCATGATAGAGATTAACAATCAACTATTAAGGGGATGTTTAGGGGATTAATTACATCATATTACAACATATTTGTTTTGACGGTATTCTAGATAAGACTTTGATATAGCCGGAATGTTATGTTTAGTTAAAACTTTGATAAAGCAACCTACAAAAAGAGAATCAACAAGAAATTCAGTAACGACTTCAGTAATTTAGCAACAAATAGTCCTACATTATTTTAGTGTTTCGGTAGTCGGTAGTGCTGGCAATTTACGGTTCTATCTTGGCCGGGTACTTGAGGGACTTGGTACTAGCTGATCTTAATAAACTTTAGTTAGTATACTTCGGTACAACATGATAGTGATATAAATAGTGTGTATATATATATTGTAACTTTAACAACTATAGTTCTAACTAACCTTTAAACTAACCAGCTGTCCACATGTTCATGGTGAGTTGGATTGTAACTAGTTGGCAATGCCACCAACAAAAGTAAACGTATATAAAAACGTACGATTCTGCTGAAATGACTGAACCTTATTTTATATCAATGGACAGGATCCTAAATTGGAGGTACTGTACCATATAAGGCCATATTTTGGAGGGATATCCCCTTACATAGGCCTTACATAGGCCTTATATCCCACTCAGTCTTCGACAAAGTTTAACTGGGGCTTTCACAACGACAAAGTTTAACTTTGTCTTTGGAAGCGACATGTGTTTACTGGGCATTATCAGACCCAATGAGTACTAGTATAGATATATACCGGACTCCAGAGTTTCAAACAAATCCCACTCCAAACCCAGAGCGTGAAAAGTGCGTGAAACGACCGTGAAAAAAACCGTGAAAAGACAGTGAAAAACCCGTGAAAACCAATCAAAAACTTGAGCATGGAAATCACATATTTTTATTCAGAATTTTGAGGATTGATTTACGGATTCGATTAGGCTCAGGGGAAAGGTCACCCTTTTTTGACTATATATATATATCAGCAGTCAATGAGTGTCTTTAAGTAAAGTCATGGTTTTACTTGGACGACAACGTTTAACTTTGTTCTTGGAAGTAGTGGGTATATTGTAGGTACCTCCAATTTAGGTTCCTGAAATGGCCGTTGATTATATACGTGCATATCTTTTTTGGTGGTTCCTATAGTTCCTATGTAACATGAATCATACCCATATTGGAGGATTCTCATACCACCATTAAAGACGTATACTTTGATTTTTCAGAAACTATATATATATATATACCCTCGGGGCCCCAGGTTTCCGCAACGGGTGGGGTGGGGTGGGGCATGTTAACGTCAAGTTCATGGTACGTTGATGGATGGGTGGGGTGGGGCATGTTAACGTCATGTTCATGGTACGTTGATGTGGTGGGGTGGTGGAGTGGGGTGGGGGGGAGTGGTGGGTGGGGTGGGGTGGGGCACATGTTCATGTTAACGTCATGTCATGTTACGTGATAGGTGGGGTGGGGGTGGGGCATGTAAAGGCATGTTCATGGTACGTTGATGGGTGGGGTGGGGTGGGGCACATGTTAACATGTTCATGGTACGTTGATGGGTGGGGGGGGGGGGGCATGTTAACGTCATGTTACGTGGATAGGTGGGTGGGATGGGGTGGGGTGGGGTGGGGTGGGGCCTCGGGGTGCTATAGATGATTCCATTGAACATAGGAACTTACTGGCAGTGCACCAAATCAATAAAAAACCAGGTTTGCACACTGTCTTGACAGCCTTGGAAAAAATCAGGGAACTGTCTATGTCAAGCTTGCAGCCCGCCAGCAAAGTTTGGGATCGAGCGCCGTGGAAACTTTGAAAAAGAACATGTTGCAGCATGTTGCAGCAGGGTGTTGACGTTGAAACAACAACGAGCAAAAAAAAGTGACTATCAACATGTCCCATTTCATGCTAACATAAAAAAACATTGCAAATACCAATTTAAAAAACAGCCCTTCATATTACACCACGAGCCGCAGTAAAAACAGTACTTTTCCGGTTAAAAAAATCAACGACTTTCATGAAATGTGCTATTTCGTGTGGGAAAACAAGAAAATCAGAAACTTTGGAAAAGAACATGTTGCAGCAGGCTGATGAAGTTGAAGCAACAACGAGCAAAAAAAAGGCTGACTATCAGCATGTGCCGTTTCATGCTAACGTTAAAATTCACTGCAAATACCAATAAAAAAAGACACCTCTTCATATTACCCCACGTGCCGCAGTAAAAAATGACAATTCCGGTTAAAAAAACAAAGAAATTCATGAAAAGTGCTATTTCGTGTAGGAAAACATGAAAATCACAATTGACATGTACTGTGGATAACATGTCATAACATGCAACTTGCGCGGGCCTAAAAATTTAGCTCCGTAAAATTGTCATTAAAGAATGAAAAAGAAGAATGTGCAAAATCCACATTTCGCTGTGGCGAAAAAGTGATTTTTGACATATGGATCAATGAGAACCAAGATACTCTGCGGAAACCTAGGGCCCCGAGCGTATATATATATATATATATACAGATATACCAATAATATAACCAATGAATAATGGTTTAGAGACTAATAATGGTTTTGAGCAACTATATATATATATGTATACCAATTAGAGACTAATAAGGATTAACCTCTGGTAAATTAACATAGACCCTGGCAGTTGTCGGGGTTGGAAGACTAGTTTATTAAAAATTGGTGATTTTCAGGGTCCAACTGTTAATTTACAAGGGTGTATGAATAATGCTGGGATGACCAGCCATTTTTTGCTCCGTGTTTTGTGCAGACGCTGACTATGCTCGGCGATAAAAATCAACTCAACTCGTTGTTCAAGCTCGTGGATCCACTGGTGTTCGGTGATGTGTTCGTGTTGTTTTCACTTGGTCGGGCTCTGAACGAAGGAGAGAGAGCTCGCAATCGCACCTCGTCTCTACGGCATGTTGACATTGGAGGTCCGCACCTATTTCGTGATGACTGAGAGAAACATCGCCGATTCATTGTTCCCTTTCTACGAGTTTCAAACGATGACGTCAAGCGAAGCACAAGTCTCCAGAAGACTTATGACATTGGACACGGCGGCGCAACTGGCAGCACCAGCGAGCGGTGCGGCCTACTTCGATGTCATCTTCAACCTCGATTTTAGTAAGTGGAACTTGAGGTTCAATTCGGGAAACGCCGGGCCGACAATGCGCTGGCTGGATGAATTCTTCGGGCTGAAGGGCGTATATGAATTCACACATACCTTCTTCGAGTCGTCACTCTGCTACCTCTCAAGCAGGTACCATCCAGACCAAGTCTGCCATCATATGTTATAACTTATATAACTTATAATATATATATATATACATATCAACTTATATATAACTTACATAACTTGGGGTTTATGCCATCATAATATGTGAAATGCCAACTGTCAAATCATCCAGTTTCATCGATCAAATCCATAGCAAAAGTGTTTTTACGTTAGTAAAACTAGTAAAACCAATAGTAAACTATCCCCTACATACCCTTTACCACTTGTATGGCTGGTATAAACCATCAATCCTTGTGGTTTCTGACATTGCCACCTCGCCGTTTCGGCGCGGCCGTTTCCGTGTTTTGGCGTGGCCCGCGTGGCTCAGGTATCGCACGGAACGACTGGATGAGATTTGGCGCATTTGGAACAAAGTCTTCGACGGCTTTGTACGACATGCCGCTTTCCGAAAAGACAAATTCGGATGCTGTGAGCTGTTAGAGCCATGGTGAGTTCGTTGATTAAGTGGTGACTTTGAAGGCACAAATGCGGAAATCACATATATGGCCATTTCTGAGGAGTTATAAGCCAGTTGTTATCCAGATAGCTAACTGTAGGTATTTCACCAGCAAAAGTGGTGGCTTTACCATTCGAAAATATGGATTTGACAGAAACACATGGGATTTCGCTCATTCTATCTCATTCTCCAAAAGAAGGATTCACTTCAATATATGCTGGTTGGTGGTTTGGATCATTTTTTCCCGACTGCGTAGCAAGGGTTCCCGTTTCACTCTGGGGGTCTGGGGGTTGAGGGTGTGTTCGCTCGACGGTGCGTTTGTGGTCGCAACCGTCCGCAACCGTTCGCAACCGTCCGCAACCGTCCGTGTGAGGACCGTGCCTATGGTAAGTTCTGCAGGAGGGATCATTTTTGGAGGTTTCAGACTCGCGTGGCAGGCGTGGCACTTCGTGACATTCAGAGGTGTTTTGTAACGTGTCGAAAGTCGTTTTGTGTGGCAGGCGCAATACTTTTGCGACGTTTTCACAAGATGTGTTGCAGTTTTCGTGGCAGGCGCAGCACTTTCGACGTGTCCATCGTCATTTTTCGTGGCAGGCGCAGCACTTTAGACGTGTCATGTCGCGTGTTTTTTGTAAATCGCATGGGCAGGGCTGCGTCAAGTGGCGACAAGGTGCAAATTCCGTGGCAGGCGTGGCATTTTGTGCGATGTGCTGAAAATTGACGGAAGCCTCGCACGAAACATCGATTTTGAGGTTGCAAATTTTCAGGTTCTAAGGAAAATTCGTAGGAAAACGTCGATTTTGAAGCTACAAAGTGTGAAAATTCGAGGAAGTCTCGCACGAAATGCTCGTTTTGGTGCTCCCACCTGTCTCGTCTCGAGTCTCTGGTTTTCCCGTGGCCTCGCCGTGTCTATGGGGGAAGCTGCAAAACTTGTCCTTTTGTCATGTTGCCAACTGTGAAAATTGGAGGAAGTCTCGTACGAAATGCTGTTTTTTCTGCATCCATGTTTCTTGTCTCGAGTCGCTGGTTTTCCTGTGGCGTCGCCGTGTCTATGGGGGAAGCTGGCAAACCTGTCCTTTTCGAATGTTTCCAAGCAGGTTGTCATGTCGTTTTGCGTTGTCATGTCGTTTTTCGTCTACACTTTCCACTCCTCACTCTTCACTCTACACTTTACACTCCACACTCCACACTCTACACTTTACACTCCACACTTTACACTACACACTCCTTACTTTACACACCACACTTCACACTCCACACTTTCCACTCCACACTCCACACTTTACACTCCACACTTTCCACTCCACACTCCACACTTTACACTCCACACTCCACACTTTACACTCCTCACTCCACACTTTACACTCGTCACTTTACACTTTACACTCCACACTCTACACTTTACACTCTACACTTTACACTCTACACTCCACACTCCACACTCTACACTTTACACTCTACACTCCACACTTTACATTTTACACTCCACACTCCACACTCTACACACCACACTCTACACTTTCCACTCCACATTTCACACTCCACACTACACTTTACACTCCACACTCCACACTTTACACTTTACACTCCTCACTCCACACTCCCCACTTTACATTCCACACTCCACACTCTACACTTTTCACTCCACACTCCGCACTCCACACTCCACACTTTACTGTACACTCCACATTCCACACTTTACACTCCTCACTCCACACTCCACACTTTACACTCCTCACTTTACACTCCACACTCCACTCTCTCCACCACACTCTACACTTTCCACTCCAAACTCCACACTCTACACTTTAGGCTCCACACTCCACACTTTACACTCCACAGTCCACACTTTACACTCCTCTCTCCACACTTTACACTCCACACTTTACACTCCACACTTCACACTCCACACTTTCCACTCAACACTCCACACTCCACACTTTACACTCCACACTTTACACTCCTCACTGCACACTTTACACTCCACACTTTACACTCCACACTCCACACTCTACACTCCTCTCTCCACACTCCTCACTTTACACTCCACACTTTACACTCCACACTCCACACTTTCCACTCAACACTCCACACTTTACACTCCACACTTTACACTCCACACTTTACACTCCTCACTCCACACTTTACACTCCACACTTTACACTCCACACTCCACACTCTACACTTTACACTCCACACTCTACACACCACACTCTACACTTTCCACTCCACACTCCACACGCTACACTCCACACCCTACACTTTACACTACACTTTACACTCTACACTTCACACTCCTCACTTTACACTCCACACTGCAAACTCCACACTTTGCACTTTACACTCCTGACTCCAGACTCTGCACTCTACACTCCACACTCCACACTCTACACTCCACACTCTACACTTTACACTCCACTCCACACTTTACACTCCACACTCCTTACTTCACACTCCACACTCCACACTCTACACTTTCCACTCCACACTGCAGACTGTTAACAAGGGAAACATGTACAAGACTGTTCAAATAAACTATTGCAGAAAGGTATTGTGCGTCACTGCATAACCATGTGTACTGACATCTGTACCATTAACGTACGTGTGAGCATTCGGGTTCGTGGGCTTCATCTTGTTATTTTCCATATATTGGGAATAATAATCCCAACTGACTTTCATATTTGTCAGAGGGGTAGTTCAACCACCAACCAGTATGGCAAAATTGACCTAATGAATTGCACGATTTGCCCGGATTTATGTCAAAATATGTCAAAATAATATATAGGGATCACGTTCTACAAGTTGACCCATCCAGGTGACAGGCTGGTAGGGAAAACGTGCAGCAAAATCATGGACATTTATCCATATGTATATATATAATATATATATATATATGTTACATCAAAAAATCCAGTATCTGTAAATATGATCAAAGCATATATGATCATATTTACATTAAAAAAACATGAGTGTCATAATTGTAGATAGATAGATCGATAGATAGATAGATAGATAGATATAGGTACATTCACCAACACATATCACACTCATGTTTTTTTTGTAGATTTCCCTGAGGATTTCCGACAGGAACAGGCCTCCAAGTTGTGAGCTGGTTGAGTTTCACCCATCGGACTGTAGATATAAAACAATGTACCTATCTACAGGGCGGGTTCCTCTAATAAACCATCACCATATGTATATATATATGATATATATATACATATATATACATGATATAATAACAATATATATATATATATACCAACCATCAACATACCAAGTAGATCTATAGCAATTTTATGCACCACACAACTTGGGGATGGGTGAAGCCGATGGGTTTCTGCTAAGGCCAATGTGGCTTTCGATTTGCACTTGCCCCTCGATTTCGGCTGAAAAATGTGGATGCCGATGTGGGTGTGTCTGAAAATAGTGTACCCCTAAATCCAATGGTTTTGCTGATCATTATCCCTATTAAATGGCTATAATTGGGAATATACCCTATTTTCAGACAAACCCATGTCTTTGCACAGGTCAATTTTAGGTATTTTGGGTCTGGTTTCATTGGAAACCAGAAACATGTGAGAAATCTCTTGGGAACAAAGTCTATCTGGCTTAGTCTGAAGATCGGGTATACCCACGCAATTATACCCCGGAATTGCAATTTGAATCGGGAAAGCATGATAGGCCGTGGAAATTCCGGGTATGTACCCTATAATTGGACGAATCCGTGTGAGTGGTCAAATATATAATTGGTAAAACCCTGTAATGTAAACGACGCCCTGAAGCAAGTCAAATAATATGAGTGGTAAAGGCGATTTGTGATATGATGCCATGTTCGGAGTGCTTCATAAAAATATGTGGATCAATGGGTTACCAATAGACCCAGAAACTTGCTCATGCTGTGGATGGTTGCGAAATCCTGTACCAGTTGGTAGATGGGTTTCATTTTTCGTGACCAAGTAGTATCAAACCAGCCATTTCTGCAATATTTCTGCCCGGTTCCCATCCGTTCGAGGTACCATTGCTTTGGTGCTTGGTGGCAACGCCAGGGGCTCAACAGCCATCTAAGGCTGGAGTGACAACCAGGGGATGTTGGGGATACCTGAGCCATCCTGAACCCATCCTGGACCCATCCTGTTCACCTCCTCACAACTTTATATGCTATGGTAAACTAAGATAGCTATGGAACAATCCACCATTTTTAATGGATAAATCAACTATTTCTATGGCCATGTTCGCTATGTTTGTTTACCAGAGGGTAGGTATAGATGGCCTTGCTTCACGTTAATTCATTCAACAGAAAGGTGAATAAAGTACGATCTTTGAATATCAAAGTTTATAAAATTGCCAGAGCTGGAAAATGTTGGAATAAGGTGATCATCAGCTCACCTCAATGGGCATCAGTTCGCCCGTTCAAAATAGGGGTCATCGATTTGGTTTCCTGCTATAGTAACCCCCAAAAAGATAGATGTGAGTCATGTGAGTTATACCATGATTTACTATGATTTACTACTATTTTCAGCATCGTTAATTTTACTATAATTAGTCTATATCCGTTTTCGAGCGATTTTACCAGTATTACCAGCAATTTACCATCATTTAACCATGTAATCTATGCCTTTTGAAGGGAGCTGCTTCAAAAATCCCTTGGAAAACCAGGATGACGAAGCGCGATCGGAAGATCCTGCGCCGAGTTCCTGCAGTGGTTGGAGTCTGCTGGTAGCATGGGATATTAAACATATTTAAAAATGGGATAGCCATGATTTTGATATACCAGATATTCAGTATACCCTCTGGTAATTTAACAGTTCGCTATTGAAAATGGCCATTTATAGCGAGTTTTCCAATTAAAAATGATGATTTTCCATAGTTATGTTAGTTTACCAGAGGGTATATGATATTAATGTAGATTCAGTACATGATAGTCAATTCACACACATTAACAGTGAGAAAGCGTTCATGATCGCGTGACATTCATTATATATGATTTTAATGTAGATTGTATTACAATGACAGCTAGTTGATTATATGGATGAAATGATATCCATATTGCACCATCATATCCATGATAACAGAAACATTATCAGAATGGTGAATACTATAATGGATATCATTGATATCATAGAGGATATGAATGGATACGATGGATTCAAAATTATTGCATGCTATCCATTGTATGAATATAACAACACGTAGTATATATACGGTAACGACATTTAAATATGTGGAGGGGCCAGACCGCAAGGCCCGGAGATAGTATGAAATACCAGCTTGTATATTTATTAAATGTAGTTGCAGTATGTTTATATAAATGAATTGGATTCCGTATGTTTAAATCGCTAGGCGGGCCACGGAAAACCTTCCCGGAGGTAGTCTAAAATACCTGTTCGTATATTTAAAAATCCGTATATTTAATAATTTAAATGTAGTTACCGTATATATATATGTATATATATATATGTATATATATATATATGTGTGTGTCTCTTCAAATGTACAAACATGTAATGGAGTAGTGAACAGGGCACTGCTGAAATGAGAACGAAAGAGTCCTTTTGCCTTTACGGAACAAGAGAATCCAACTGTCCAGCCCCCCAAAGAAATTTGTTATTTGGATTTCAGTTGATATTTTGTTCATGGTCTTTTGGCAGAAATCCGATCATTAATCAGTTTTCAAGGTACATGTTCCAGAATTTTCAACCAGTTAGGGCTACTCCAAGAACTGTTGGGTTTATGGTAGATATATCAAACTCGATGTTCCTGGGATTTCTTGACAACAGACATAGCGGTCGGGGGCACCGTGAAATCAGCCCCCGAAAATTGGGCCCCTGGACCGGTCGGTCCAGCCCCTGCCTGGCTGAGGAATGGAGTTTGGCCCTGCCACACCGTGCCCTGTGTCAAAGCGATGATGAAGACCAGGCGAGGCAGCGGTGTTTTTGTTTCTACGGCAGGCCCTTTGTGGGTGATTATTTGAAGAGTTGACATCAGACCCAACAAAATACTGGTGTTGGTTGATGATTGTGAACTTTGTAAAATGATATGATGAAAGAGATGGTTGGTTGAGGATTATGGAAGGACTATACTACGTATAGTATCCAATATATTGAGGGATTGTTATAATCCATTGTGGGAATCACCTTAAACCAACTACTCATTGAAAAGGAATTTTCAATAGGTTTTTGACGCTGTGAAAAAATGCAGATGGGTTAGATCCCAGTATTCTTGATGTTTCAACCATATTTGATGACCACGATGTTTGGTAATTTCTAGCACGACTTTGCGGCGACTTTGCGCGTACCAAAGTTTGCTTTAGACTAAGCGAGCTCGAAGTCGAATTGTCCAGCAGATTGGATATCAGGCCAAACTTCTGATTGTATTTTGGGAATGTCGCTTTTCACGTTTAGAATCAACATCTCAAATCACCGAGACACAAAAATCACAAAAAAAAACAGGATGGGCCCAATGGGTAGCATGAAGCATATGAGCCCTGCAAAGGATATGTAACTTGGTTGAACTAGCTGGGATTAGTATGGTTGATGCTAGGTTGGTTTATACATCACGCTTATGTTAGATGGTGCATATTGCAGGTCACAGATGCACTGACAAGCTGGAACATGTGCATTAAACCAACCCATTGAATTCATAGTGTGCCATGGTCAAGTGTGCGTTTTTTCTCACAAAAAGGTGGTGGTCATCAATCCATGAATAGGGGTTAGTATAGCCATGGGAAAGGCATCCCCAAGACTGGTAGGCAGACCCCATATCCATCCATATCCCATATACCATCTGTCGACTATGGCACAGATCATGTTTGTTTGTCATTCCCAAATTTTATTGGATACTTACAAGGTCGTGCCCCCCCCCCCCCAGTTAAAAGTTGGTTTATAAACACCATGAATACTATAGTTATCTATAGCTATATCTACCATAAACCATAGAATTCAGCCACTTATATCTCAACTTGATAACTTGGCTATCTTGGGGGCACCATCCTGTACCCGCCCAATTTTGAAGTTGTGCCATGCGCAAGAGCCGCAGTGGTGCCATGCGCAGCTCATCGCACATCTATTGCTTCAGGCCTATCAAGCCTTCGCCACAGCACAGCTACAAGCTTATAGCCACTTAGCTGCAGATGAGGAAATTGGGGATGCATAATTGACTGGTTGTTGGTTTGGAACATGAATTTTATTTTTCCATATATTGGGAATAATCATCCCAACTGACTAACATTTTTCAGAGGGGTTGAAACCACCAACCAGATTGATTTTTTTAGTAGTTTGCTGCCGTTTGAAGCAACTCAAGATATGCTACTATGGTTTATGAAAGATATATCGAGCTAATTCATTTGATTCACAAACCAGCTAGGTTGCACCTTATAAGACAGAAACAAGACACTTGATGAAATACATGATGATCATACTGGATGGGGCCCCGAAGATAGCGTTCAGTTGTATAAGTGGCTGAATTCTATAGTTTATGGTAGATATAACGAACTAGTTAATGGATGTTAATGGGGTTTATAAACCAACTTATAATGGAAGATAAGTTGCCCTCTGGAAATGTGTTACAGTTTGCTATTGAAGCCATGGCCCATAGAAAGTTCGTTGATTTACCCATTAATAATGGTGATTTTCCATTACAAACCTTTACCAAAGGGTACATCCCGGACATGAATTTTGAGTAATCTTGAGAGATCTGGCGGTTTTTCATACGTTTCAAAAACACCTAACCCATCCCAGCGGGGTCCCAGTTCAGGTCACGCGTCCCATGGCTGGTTTTTTTGGAATTGGCGCGACAGTCCGGAGCAACATTTGGGATGGGATGCTCAGATGTGTCTTCAACGACGCTGGTTGTCGCAAGCTGAATGGAAAGCGGACTGAGGAAATCTGTGGAATGGTGAGGTCATGACTTTTAGACTCTTAAGAGATTGGGAGGGACTGGCTAGACACCTCAAAAAAGGGGCTGTCACAATATATATATATTATATTATATATATATTATTATATTTTAACATAACACAGATATTGGACTCTTAGTTTCCAAAAGAGTATGGATTATGTATGGATTGAACGTATCACTCTCCATCCACTGCAGCGTGGGATTGGCAAAGTCTCAAGATGTCCCAATTGTTATTGTCGCGGACAGCTCTGCCTTCACGAGAGGTCAGAGCCAAGAAATGTCTTAATTCGTCTAAATATGTCCAAATGCCAGTGACGAACTGGCATCCCTGAGTATCTTGGTTGGCTACAGGTGTACCAAGAACAAGCCAGATGGTTGACGCTTCAGGTAACGATTGTGCATGATGCTGTATTGCCTGGCTCACCAAGAACTAGGGTTGACGACTGCGGTGCTCATCTTGGGGTAGATTCTGCACATGTTGTCCCCTTGTTTTGTGAAGTGTCTAGTTTTGTTACAGCTGCCCAGGTACTTCTGACATAACTTGCCTGTGCTCAACCACTGGAAGTAAAATGATGGAGCTGCACATACTTTTGCTACATCTGGCAGAATTTGAACATTTGCTGATAAAAGATTTGAATGATGAAGAAACTTATTATTTGTTAATAAATCAATATTTATGTACTGAATATGTTGTGTTTCTGCAATGCCACATTCGAAGATATTCTAAGATCGAAGATGTACCTGTGCACAATGAGTTACGGCCGGAAGCACGATCTCAGAATTGGGATACAAAACTGCTGTTTTAGCCATGTGAAAATCATCAATTTCATTTGGAAAAGTCATGTACACAAGTATGTTCGGTGTACGTATATATATATATATATATATACACATACACATATTGTCTGGTGGTCCCCCTTCCCCCCCGAGATGGTGATGGTCCCTATATGTATATGACTATATGTAAGTTGTGTATATATATATATATACACGTGTAAGTAGTGTGTGTATGTGTATATATTTATATATACACATGTGTGTTTATACGTATGTAGTATGTGTATGGCACTGAACACGAGTCGAGATGCGGGACCATATAATGTTTATGAATATATAAACCTATGTGTGTGTGTGTGTCAAAGATCATCAAACCAGATAGGTTTGAGGCCATTTTGGTACGATTTCGATACTTTTTATACCCGAAAAGGTGAGAAATCCATGTTGGAAGGTTCCTTCCTCGGGGGTCAATTGAGCAATGGCTTCTAAACTCCGGTTCGTTCATGATTATATTATAGGATATTGTAGGCTTTATTATACTAACCAATATCATAATCATAAATTATACATATATATGTATATATAATCTAATCTATTATCATATAATATTTTATAATCTGATATAATCTATATGTTGGGGAACATCACCATCCATGAGCCAACCTTGCTCAATCCATGCCCAATTTCTGTCATCATCCAGCCTTAATTTGTGCACGTTGCCACGCCCCGATTGCCGTCCCAAAATGGTGGGCCAGGTGGGTGGAGGTTAACCAGTGATTTATTGGTGTTTGTTCAGATACAGATAAACATACAAACACAGAGATACACACACATATATATATATATAATTATATATATATATATGCAATCACATAATATTAAATACAATATGTAATCATATATACATATATATATATTACCTATACCAATATACTACAAATAACTCTGGAACTGTGTATATATAATATAGTACTACAATGTTGAACTGTACAATACATATAGATTTTGTTTCATATTTCCAAATACATTCAATAGTTTTATCATATACAGATACATTAATTACATTGCATTACATTACATACATATGGACATGTATCTGGAAGCCTCAAAAATCCCTCGGTTTTTCGCGACCGCGTCAGGGTCGGTGCGTTGGTTTGTTTTTTGTGACCGTGACGGCGTCGAGGCGTCGAGGCCGAGATTCGGCCGGGGACTTCTTGGTGAGACGAGTAGATACCCGAAATGGTAATGGGATGGTTAATGTGTTAAATGGATATTAAATGCTAATAGATGGTTAATGGGATTCATGGATATGAATGGTTAATGGATGTTAATGGGATATATGGGATTCATCCGAAATGGTAATGACTGTTACAGTTTGTGAACTGGAAAATGGCCCAGTCGAAATAGTGAGTTTTCCCATTAAAAATGGTTGGATCTTTCCATAGTTTTTTGTAAACGTTTACCAGAGGGTATCTCCAATTGGTGCCCCAGTTTGTGGTTTTTTAAACAGGTGGTGCCCCAGTTCGTGCTAAGTTGGTAAAGAGTTCACTCCAATTTCACGTTTGGGTTTATGGTATCTATATATATATATATAGAGATTGTTACTTTGTTTAAAAAAACAACTTCTGACTCGGGGGTCACCACCTTGTATAGGACGAATAGGAAAACAGTTGTTGTTTACCAGATTTACAAGCTATTTTTTAAGAGAAATCCAGATCGGTGGTGGTTTGAGCAACCAAATTACGGGTCGAACTCAGGGATTCAGTGACCACTTGGGCTGGGAGGTTGTTGGGTTTGCAAAAACAATGGCTATGTCAATCTTGGATGGGTACAAACTAATCCATACTAGTCTTTTGGCATCAATGGGATTATCTACGTTCAGCAGCTAATAATTTTAAGTTTTGCAGGTATCTAAGATTGGCACTGATGGGGATGATCCAGATACCCACTGAAACGCTCAGAGGGATCTGGATAGCGACTGCCGAAGATGTCCGAAAAAACATCATGATTCATACAAGGTGGTGCCCCCCAGTGATGTTTGTTGGTTTATAACCTCCATTAAGTATGGGTATATCTACCATAAACCCAAGCTATTGGAGTTATAAACCAACTTAGCCAACTATGGGGCACCAACTTGTAGTGGGGGAACCCGAAAAAACCCATGGCCGTAAATTTTCACATTGGGAATGATTGTCATGAATATCACATGGACATCTGTTGAAAAAAAGGGCTACTCCCCAAACTTGGTGCGGTCCATGCCTTGAAAAACGGACAGTTCAAGCAATAACCCCCCAAAAACTTAGGGGCAAGAAAAAAGGAACATACAACTGGGTGGGGATCAAAATTGGATTAAGATTGATTCTCACCTCAATATCAATCCTGTGTTCCTGATTTGTTGATCACTGTACCCCAATGAATTTTCCAGACAAATCACATCCGGTAAACTTTCAGCCACTCCTTTCATTTTGAACCCCAAGTTGCAACGGTCCTATCCACGGCCCCAATTTGGCCCCATTGCTGGGGAAAAATCGCATGGCGTCCTGCAGATTTTCTCTTAAGCCCGGTAGATCCAATCGTTCCACAAGCCGAAATGACCAACGAAATGAAACGCTTGGGACTTAGGTGATTTTCCTGTTGCGTTTTTAGGGAATGTGCATGGCTAACCAGTGACTATCAGGTACATTGGTGCCCGGAAATTGCCCATAAAATGGACAATCGTTGGAGCATTGAAGATCAATTCCTGCAGTGCCTTGCTTTTTCCCAACCCTTTTGGCTGACTCCTAGGCTTTGAATGTGAAGCATGGTGCAACTCAGTTCATTCAGTTCATTCATTTATTGGTATTGTAAATGTTCATATTTTTCAGACTACAGTATTTTTGGGGTCAATGTTGGGAGATGTATCCACCATGTCCAGTTTCTTCTGGAACCACATTTTGACACCTTGGATCATGGCTCCCGAAACCGGACCACGGAAACTGACACAGCAAAGCGCAGCGAATTTGACCCAGGTAGCATCCGCCGGGGTCAGTGCACCGGATGCGGTTTGGAGAATAAAAGGGAATGCTTACATTTTCACATAGGCTCAATCACATTCATTTCAAGATAGAGAATTGTAAGAGATGTGTTGTAACCGGCTTCATGATGTGTGTGTGTGTTACAATCATTGATAGAGATGTTAGAACCGGAGAATTATAAGATATGTGTTGATAGAAGAAGCATGAAGAAACAATATACGTAAGACATCATTGATCTTCTATCAACAAAAGACAACATCAAAGATCAATGATGCCAATGATGCGTCAGCAACATCAACATCTGAGAGTGGGGCGCCATGGTGATACCACTTCCAGCCAACGAGAGCATCAATGCTCTCCCCGATGAGGCGGCTGCCGTTTGCCTTCTGCGGGAGATTGTCCAGGAAAACCACTTTAGGACCTTGAGGATTTGGCTTATTTTCAGACCAATAACCATATATGTAACAAACATACTGTAGACTATTGTAGATGATTTTTAGGATAGGGCATTATCCCAAAATGATTTTTTTGGCTTGCTGTTGGTGATGAATGATTGGAAATCACAAAGACTATCGAATCGCTGCAGGATGGATCCGAAGTGACAGCACCAGAAATCCAACAATTCGCCTAGTTCTAAAGCAACTTACCGATCTAGGGTCGCCTTCCATTCATGTCTGATGTGGGAATGACTGAATGCTTTGCATTGCTTTGCCCAGTACAGTAAGTTCTTGAATGTCATGACCCAAGAAGTTTCAGCAGAAAGTGTGCTCAGTAGAAATTGTGCTTAGAAGCGAGATGCACATCCTTTACTCATTGGATTGGTTTAAGGGAACATCTACAGGAAACCATGGTTTTTACCACCAAATATAGGGATTTCCTGTAAATTTTCCCATCATCCAATTCTATGATTTACACAATGTTCTCATTTGGCGAATCATTTCAACATCGCCCTTAAACTTGTTCTGCGTCTGGCTTTCTCAATCCACTGAAGTTCAAACCTGGTACTGGAAAATCTCAAATCTCCGTTGTGTTTGGCTTCCACTACCAAATTCTTGAACCCTTAAAAACCAGCATAGAAGCCCCAAAAATTGGCTTTCGAGGATGATCTTTCTTGGAAAATCATAAAATGGAAATCTGGCCATGTTTCAGGTTCTATGGCCATATGGGCCGTGTTTTCGTGATTTTTCATGGGTATATCCTGAGAGTGATGGCCCAATGGCCTGTTTTTGTTCGGCCACTGGCAGGGACGGCCACTACTGGTGGAGGGATCAGGGTTTGATTTTCACGAGGTGATTTGAAGATATACAAAGGGCCAGGATACCCGGCCTGGTAAACGTTTACATCACTATGGAACATCACCAGGTTTCATGGGAACATCCACTATTTCTATGGTCATGTTCAATAGCGAACTGTTAAATTACCAGAGGGTAATGATTATGATTATGATTATATATTATGTTACGCGGTACATGCTCATGGGATTAAATAATATTAAATATTGATGTGGTAAATCCACGTAATTTCAAAGAACTAACATCAATTATATAGCCTACAAAGTGGGGCCCCCTAGCCCCCTAGATAGCTAAGTTGGTTTATAACTCCAATAACTATGGTTTATGGTACGCAAATAACTATAGTTACTGGGGCGAATCTAAACCAACTAACATCACTGGGGGGCCCCACATTGTATACTGGGACCTGAAGGGAGGACCAAGGCTTTGGCATAGGCTGTTCTTCACCGCAAAATCCATGCTGCCGCTCCACTGACCTTACTAAATTCCTGGCGGATCATCATCACCATTCTGTGGCTCCAAAATGCTAGGACAATCACGAATCTGGGTAAATTATAACGACCTCACTGTTCTCCCTCACTGGAATTCATGGTGAATGGATAGGGGAATTATCCCCAAATGGCCGAACTATTCAGGTTAGTGAAATATTATAATTTACCCCTGATTACTAATTACTAAACCGTCCCCCTAAATAATAAACACATGGAGGAAGTCTTTAGTATCAGATGGTATTTCAGTATTTAGTATTAGGGTGCGAAACTTCCCCCTGATGTTAAATTCAACATCTTAATGTAGAAAAACAACAGAAACTGTTTCAAAGTCGATTGAATGTCCTTTTAAAATCTAATATTGCCAAAAATTGGATTTCAAAGCTTTCCCCAAATATTGAGTTAGAAGTTCAAAATCGATTTCATTTCCTTTCAACACCTAATTTAAATATTGCCAAAAATGGGATTTCGATGCTTTCTTCTAACATTATATAAACTAAAATCCTTGATATATCTGTTTTGATCTTAAAAGACGGACGCTAATAGAAAAAAGGGTTGACTAGTTTTTATTATTAGGGGGTGAAACCCACAAATGGGCCCTTCATGTTTAAAATGTTTTTTTAATGGAATCAATTAAGCATATTTAAAATCAATTTAGTCAGTCTGAAATTTCCCAAAATTTAACGCTGACCCTAGTTTTTTAGTATTTGGGGTACGTTTAGTAAAACGGAGGTAGGGATTAGTGGGCGGGTCAAAATTTGAGAGAAAGGGAACCACAGATGACTTAGTCATTCGATAGTTCTAGGAGGGTTATAGTTCTAGGAGGTTATACAACCAAATATGTTTGGGGTCACAAGCCACAATGGGAATCCCTATGATCCCAGCAGTATTTCAAATTCCATGACAAGGTATTCACGGTCACACGGTCACACTACGTCACAGTGCTCCAATGGCGTGTGAGGTCGTGATCAAGTTAGCTCTATAAATTTGGCTGGTGATTTTCCATGGCAAACTGTTAGTCATACCCAGATGGTAGCTCTATAAATTTGGCTGGTAAAACCATGCCACATTATTGATTTGGGCATGGGTCAGTTGTTAGCTATTACCATAGGGGGGGGAGTTTCTAGATCAATCCCAGCGACTTAGGGTGCCATCCGGGATACCCGGCCTGGTAATTTCTAACAAAAAGCTATTGAAAATGGCCATAGAAATAGTGGATTTACCCATTGAAAATGGTGATTTTCCATAGTTTTGTAAACGTTTACCAGAGGGTAAGCATTTTTGGTTTTGACCATGGTTTTGACTCAGCATTTTTCATAGCGGGGAATCTCCTCGATGTTTTGGTGAGGTGGTGATCAAGTGGTGCGTCATTGGCCTTTGGATCTTCTCCTTCGTCTTGGCCCTCTTCGCTCCCTTGAGCAACTTGACTTCCAGGAACTTCCAGGGTGACCTGAGGCAGTAGAGCTTGGGCCCCCCGTTGTGATGTGAACGTTGGTTTAGATTCGCCCCAGTAACTAGTTCGTTATTTGCGTACCATGTTTACCATGGTGAAATTGGAGTTATGTGAACCCCAACTTAGCTATCGAACGGGGGCCTCACATTGTATGGTTTGATACATTTGTTGGGGTTGGTAAGCCACAAGAACGGAACGTACCTTCTATGCTCATGTTGTTTTTCTCTTGTGTTCCTGGGGTTAAAAATCACTTGTTGATACCTTTTGCTGATGGTGAAGCCCGCCCAACGTTGTCACGAACCTTGTTGCATCTGGAACCCCATGGGTATCCTGCGCGATCTGCAAGAGGCCACAATGTCTTGAGGATATGACCAGTTGGCGTCATAAATGGCATGATGTGGCCATTGTTTTGGAATCTCTAATGTCATATAATAACATATAATATTTATGTATACCTATAACACATGTCATATTATTTCATACTAGTTCATACATCATAGACATACGTGTATATTTTACACATATATATATAGATAGACAGAACCACATACAGACAATGTATACCAGTATAGTTACAGAAATCGGGCATTGAATTGTATAGACGATCATAGATGTTCTAATTGTCAATGGCTGGTTGACAAGCAAGAATACGCACCCGCATTTGTCACTACTATAGGGAAACATCGAGAGCTGGTGATTTTGTTGTTGTTTTTTTAATACCATTTTTTTTTGACAAAACGACATCATTGTTGGCATGAGTCAAAACAAAAAACATCGTGGACGTGAGTAGATGATAACGAATTCACTAGATATGATGGGAATTGTAAGGGTAACTACATATATATATATATATCCAAACCTAGCCTTAAACTTTTCAGGTCAATATAGTGAACTATGAATTTCCAGATCAGTTTGGTTGCTGCAATCGCAACATGCAGAGTATCTTAAGCTTTGATGAAGGTAGGTCATCACCATTTTTGCAAACGTGAGCCATTCCGAATCATGATTGGTTCAGCTCCACAAAAAGGTACCATTTGGAAAATTAAGATAACTATGGAATATCATAATGTCCAGTAGGCCAAATGAAGTGAATAAATGTAAATAATCCTAGGTCATTCTCCATAGCTATATTAAATGACCAGAGGAGAACCTCAACTAGCAGACATATTTCTGGGATATATGGCTCAGCCTGCAGTCCATTGCTGTTTCATATCCGTACTCTAATTTTGTACATGTGTTTCCTGTTTCGCAGGGATATTCGTTGCTGATTTTGGGCTGGCCCTGAGGTGTCCTCAGTTCGCTGTCAGAGCCCCAGTCTGACACCTGTGACAGTGGTGACCCTCCGATTTTTGCAGCTTGATGCATGCATATGCCAACCAAGACTGCCCACAATCACAAGAAACAACTGAAACACTGTCTTTGGTCTCCGTGCACCGACATTTTTTTGAAGACTGAGACATGATCGCTTTGTTACACTTTGTACAGTTGTAGATGTAGACTGATGTAGTAAGTAGAAGCTCCATCAGACACACAATATATATATATATATATTATTTTTTTTTCAAAGCTGTATACGTTTTGTCAAATCATTTTAGAAGCAAGCCTTCGAAGCCGTGAGCCCAGGGGCTTGGCATTTTTTGGTACCTACCTTCTGGCCGAGGAGGGAAAATTAACCGAGAGATCCAAGCTGTCTACACCAAGAATAGAAGGGCTGATTAGTTGATCGCCAAGAATGAACAAACATCTTTGATTTGCATGGCCGTCATTTGTTTACTTGTTTGACACATAGCATTCAATAGCAATTTAAATTTATTCGAGTCTATTTTCGGTCAATGCAACAAGAATGATGATAAGGTTCCATGTGAAAAATCATCCAACACATATTGCGAGACATACTAAAGTCATTAGAATCTCCAGCATCATGATGATCAGGATTAGTTTTCGTTTGCATTTGAGGACTCTGAAACAAAACACTGATGAAATCGGACACTCATGATACTGGCGCCCCTCGGGTGCCCTCTGATTTCTCAGGACCCACAGATGAGCACCTGTTTCTTGGAAAGGAATGAGTGAGGTCATGATGTTTTGCCAGAAAAATCTTGTAACCCTCATTTTTAAGAGGGAAACGTGGGGAAATTATGAGTAACCATAGTAGGGGTAGGAGTATGGGGTAGGGGTAGGAGTAGGAGCAGCAGCAGCAGCAGCAGGTGGTGTTGTTGTTGTTGTTGTTGCTGTGCTTCTTCTTCTTCTTCTTGTTGTTGTTCTTGTTGTTCCTGTTGTTCTTGTAGTTCTTGTTGTTCTTGCTGTTGTTGCTCTTGTTGCTCTTGTTGTAGGAGTAGCAGCAGTAGCAGTAGTAGCAGTAGTGCAGCCCTGGATGCTTTTGTGATTCACCCCACCATCCATTTCACTGTTTTTTTTTTTTGTTGCGCTTCCTCCGCCCCTTAGCTAGATCCTGGAAGCGGGAGCATTTGCTCCGTTTTTCAACAATGTTTAGTTGACTATATCACATATTTGTGTGTGTGCGCGCGTTTCTCATTGTATTTATTTATATATATATATGTATATATATATATACATATTAACATAATATATATACACATATTAATATATGTTAGGTTTATCAAGATGAAACAATTTCCTAGGTGGGATGCAATTCCAAGTGCATCCCTAGCACGCTCGGCAATGGCATCGCCAGGTTATCAGCGCATTCGTGAGACTGCACTTGGTCAGTGCTGTGGCACTGGCGGTTTGAGGACCCCGGGGGCGTGCGCCTTGTTATATATATATATATGCTTTCCTGCAATGAAGAAATTTAGCAGTTTAACATATAGTTTACGTGATGTATAATAATGTATATCCCAATATTACTGTTGTTTGAGCTGCCATTAGCCAGATTTGGGCCAGGCTTGCAATTTGATGATGTTTTTTAGGAGGCCCAGGTTTTGGTGCCTGATGTTCTTGGTGGAAATGGGGGTTTCCACTTCATGAGTGTTCCAAACTGAAGATGTTGATACCAGATGTTTGTCGTGTGGTTTTTCAAGTTGGCCTTTTAAAACGGCCGGTTTTCCATGCGCGGTTCTTCTGGTTTTCCATCCTCGCTTTGGATGATCACTCAGTTCGCAGAGTATACATACGGAGCAGAAAGTGAGACGAAACAAATTGTATTCATGTCGTACTTTTGAAAGATGAACGCAAAAGGGTGCTTTACAATTGAAACGCAGGTGGTTGCACCTACGGCAGGTGGTAGACATTGCCCAACATCTTTTGTCTTCTGCCCTGCAGGGTGCAGCTCTTGGAAAATTGTCTTGCAACATGGTGAATCTGCCTGAGCCACCTAATTTTCAACGATCTATTGATTGAACCATAGGTTGTATCATGTCACATGTTATATTATTGGACACTGTTCTTTTAGCCACGCCACTGTCTTTTTCTTGTTCAATCATTAGTTTATATCATCCCACTTCAAGTTTTTAGGAGCGCAAAGGAAATCTGTCAAATGAATGTTCCCCCTTGGTTTTATGACAAAAAAAACATAAAGTTTGACCCATCTGTTGGTGAAATATTGTGATGGAATATGATGGAACATGATGGAACATAATACAGGAATACATTATTTACTTCTGTTCAGTATACTGACACTATCACATACTTGACATGTCGCCAGCGCTGTCAATATTTGCAAACATTGTATTGTTTTTGCTCTACATGTGTGCATATTGTATGAACATGGTTTGTCATTGCACATATTTGTTAATTCACATATTACGTATACGCTGTTTTATATATACACTTTCTTTTAGTATATGAATAGTTTGAAAGTATAGATTTGATTTGTATGTTTACATCCACAAAACAAAAACAGGCGTATGTCATCAGGTTCCCATTCACCACCTCACTAAGGTAATCTGCAATATGCTGCATATATGCGGGGTAGTAATGATGAACTTACCAATGCGCACCCGAAAACTCCCATCATATATATATATATATATATTTTATAGATGTATCAAAATGGTTGGATTTGGCTTATATACCGATTTAAGTGCATGTGTTTTTGTTTGAGACGTTGTTTTTTTTGGCTGGCTCTCTTTCTCTGTCTCTGTTTGATCTGTCTGTCTCTGTTTTTCTCTCGTTTCCTTTTTTATGTAATCTACTATAGATATACACACGCATGTATGCAACCCTAGTCTTCACCCTTGGTAGTTCAGGCTGTGCATTAGATCAATGAAAGACTTGGGTATAGGTGGGCCATTCCTACGCACCCCGCCTATCGGCATATCTAGTTTTTTTTTGGGTCGGGCCATTTTTTGCAAATTGAATTGGTTGGTGAGGGGAAATGCCAACTCATGGTGTTATGGACTGTGATAATCCCCTTTTCAAACATTACTGGTTGGTGGTTTGGAACCATTTTTTTCTCTCCATATATTGGGAATAATAATCCCAACTGACTAATATTTTTCAGGGGTTGAAACCACCAACCAGAAAACCTTCCTAATCTCAAATGTATCGTGTAGTATAATTCGCTGAACAAGTAACTATCAAACAACACAATGTTTTTCACACTGCTCACTTTTGAAGTATATATAGAATGAACCATTTGACGGTGCAGTTCCGCTTAATGATGCGGAACTTTGCCATAGCATGTACCATGGTTTTACCCAGGAAGATGATCCAAGTCAATACCATATCAGTTTTATATTATGCGTTTCCCCTATGATATCCCTATTTTAGATGGTTGGTGCCTTTCGAAAGATGAACTAACCCCAACTATATAAACATTATATAAAGATATCCATAGATATTCATATATATATATACATACATATATTAAACATATATTTATAAGATTTTATAAGCCCTCTATTACGCACCGATTTTTTCCATTGAACTTAGAGGCATCTTTCCAATTTCGAGACGCGCAGCGGCGCAGGATGTTGATGCCGTTCTTCCTCCTGGGTGCCATCAACTCCTTTGTGGACGGCCTTGCATTAATCCAGGCGCTTCTGACATAACCTGACAGCGTGACCGGATTTGTTTCCCGTTATGGAAAAACATTTTTTTTGGGGGTGCCTAAAATGGTTAGTACTAGTGAAAAACGTGGTTGATAATGGTTACTAGTGGTTACTAGTGGTTGATGGAGATGTAGCCCCAAATTGCAAACATGGAATAGTCTACTGTGGTAACTAGCTGGGATTCCTATGAAACACTGTAAATCATAGGATTGGAGATAAGCCATCAATTGGTGCAGGATTTCTCAACCACAGTATGAGGGGAAAAGACATGGAGATATCGTGAGAGTCAAAAGTTGGATTTTGTTTTTTTCGGACATGGGTTTGATCCGTTGATAGGAGGGATTTTATGGTATTGATAATGGGGATATTGTAATCAACAGTTGGATGGTATGGTTAGCATGATACACCTGTTGATTGTATTTAATTGTGTCAAGGTTCTCTTTTGAAAGGGTTCTTGCCATACCATTGTACTTGGGAATACCTCATGATGGAGGAATAGCAAAACCCATTTACCATGCTTTGAGGATCGCACATATTATTCAATAGTGCGTGTTTTCGGAAAATTATTGAGATGAATTATTCCATTCGCCATCCCCCACCGTGACAAAGACATGCTGACAAAAAAACTGAGACGTATGTACCTTGACCTGTATCCTGACTACATGTTTTGACAGTATTGTAGTGTCAAATCCGGATTAATAAACCATAGTTTTTTTAATTAGGGGGGAACTTCTCCAATAGTCATAATCTGATACTGCAATTGTACTCACCCAATTAAGCAGCCTAAGGGTTTATTAATCCAGGGTTGACATAACTCTGACACGTTTCCTGACACATACTTGGACTTGGACATACACTATGACACTTAGACTGACATAGCTGTGACATGTCATCTGACCTTTAGTCTTATGACATTTATCCTAGCAAAAGGTAGTCTGGCAAAAGTTCTGGCATGCTTTCTGACGTGTATTATCTTCATCTCCGTAAATAAATGATATATATTTGTAGTCATTGATCCACAGCAATTTGTAGACACACAAATTATCAACTGCGTATACCATATATTTTCTTTAAATACATGTTTTACCAACCGCCATGTGTTGCGTGTTAAATGCATGTTGGTTGCATGCACTTTTGAAATCTCAACCTGTTTATTTGATTCTGGCATTTTTGAAGTGCTTTACCACCAAAACGAGCGGGGTATGCACTTAGGCTAGAAAGAGGTGGTGTCATTGTCAAATTGCAACACTTCCTGGTATCATTATCCAGATTTTTTTTAAATATTCATTTTTTGGGGATGAATTTAAACCGCCCGATAGGGTGATTTTTGGCGGTTCAGCCCTGCAACTACTGGGATAACGACCAGGTGGATGACCTAAGTCCCGGCTCATGGGGGTATTCCAACCATATCATATCATTTCATCATGGTTTCTCATAATTTTCTTATTGAAGAGGTTATGTGTGAAAAAATGAGATTATTTTTTTCATAAACCATGGTTTTTCAGAAAACATGAGTTTGTTTATTTTGGCCACGTGTTTTTTGAAGAACGAAGAACTCAACTGCAGCGGCAGATGGACATGTTTGGATGATGGCAATTTAAATTGGACATGATTGGACACAATATTAATATGTATATATACACTATCTATATATTATATATAGCTTGTATATCATATATATCTTATATACTTATATATTTATATATTTTACATCTTATATATCTTATATATCTTAAATATCTATTATATTATAATACATATATAAATTATACTCACAATCCGTTGGAATTGGGGAGCGCATTTTCGGACCGATTCTATTGAAATATGATTGAAAACTCATGATTTCTAAACCAATGGTAGTGATCGAAAAAGTGATCGGTGCGAAGGAAACATGTCGAATCATCACTAGCCACTGTACAACTTGATTTTAGCCTCTGGTAAACATACAAAAAGCTATCGAAAATGGCCATAGAAATCGTGGATTTACCCATTAAAGATGGTGATGTTCCATAGTTATGTAAACGTTTACCAGGAGGTATACAGAATTACGGACATGATTTCTCTAAGAGCAAGTACTTATAAGTATTTATTAATTAAATTCCATGCGTTGCCCGAATATTTACCGAGTTGGTCCCTGGCTCACTCCATGGCATGATCGCTACCGCGATCCCCGTGGATCCCCCCGAGCCGCAGATGTTCTCCAGCTACGGGTGGAAGACCTTCAACTTTATTCCAGCGACTTGGAAGTGGAAAACTGGACGCAAACCGACTGAGTTGGGATATCTTGGGATATATCTTGGGATATTATTATCGGTTTAACCAAGAAAATATGAGTGGGGACTGAAAAAGTTTCAACGGGGGGTTATATCATCAACATGTTGTGGTTAAGGTTTCGAATACCGAGGTTACACAATGTTGCACATGGTTATATACCATCACCATGGTGGTAAAATCGACTTGTTGGGTTTAAGTTGCACCAACAGAGCTTTAACTAAGCAAACATAGAACACATATAAAGACATGGTAAATATTTGCTGCCTTGTTTACCAACGAAAGAAACTATGTGACATTGAGCCTCGGGGTACACCTAGGTGATGGGCGTTATTCCTAGGTATGTGCCTGGTTAGACACAACTAGCTCTAACTCTAGTATTACTAGTGTATATCTGTATAATGACAATAATGATTAAATGATTATTATATATCATTTCTACTACAACTACCGTATACTATTTGGTGCTCATGTCTATCCCAGCTATAACTCTACATGCCAAGAGGGAACCAGAGTTGATGTCAAGCTTTCAGGCTACATCTAGTGGTGTTTTTTTTCTGTTGGAAATGGGCAAAACTATTTGGTCACCAAAGAAACAATCCCACTCAAAAATGTTTCTTTCTATATTCCAATACCCCAAAAAGGTGAACAAAGGGTATTGGATATTTGGGAATATACAACATTCCATTACAATACCAATACCCTTTGTTCACCCATATATGGGATATACATTTGATTGATATTCACTTTATGTCCCATATATCCCTTTGACGGATTGTTGTTGACTGGAAAGGTGGCGATTTTTGTTTTGGATCGAACTTCGAAGGCGAATCTCCCCCACCTTTATTGATTCTGCAAGCCATGTTTTTCTGTCAAATATCATCTGGTTATGACTAACACAGCCATGGTATAGATGCCCTATTTATAGATGGTTTCCCTATGAAAAATGGTTATTTATTCTTTTATATCATCTGGTTATGACTAACGTAGCGAACTGGAAAATCCCCCAAAAAAATGGAGGATCCCTTATAAATGGAGGTCTCTAGCTGGGAAAATCATCTATTTCTATGGGCCATGGCTGCCATGGCGAACTGTTAGTCATAACCAGAGGGTATCACTCATTGCCCGCAGCTTTTGATCCACTGTACGATCTGCTTTGTGGTATGGCTTGTTGTCAAGAACAGCCAAGCCAACTCTGGGGAAACCAATGATAAATCCATATAAATCCATGATCACGGTGATCACAGTGATCACTATGAAATACTATGAATCATTCATATGTGATGTTTTATTTATGTAATTGTTGCTACAATTTCAGTAATTTGTCAAAACTAAATGTATCCAATATACTTATGTATATATACTTATATGATATAACAGGATATAACATGATACAATATATATATATATATGTAATGTCAACCCCGGATTAATAAACCATGGTTTATTAATTAGGGGGTACTCCTCCAATAGTCATAATCTGATACTTAAACGGTACCCTCCCAACTAAACAGTCGTTAGGGGTTTATTAGTCCAGGGTTGACATTAGACATATATATATATATATGGTTGGTGGTTTGGAACATCTGTTATTTTCCATTCAGTTGGGATTTTCATCATCCCAACTGATGAAGTCCAGGGGTAGGTCAACCACCAACCAGTCATGGATTGTTATCGCAGCTATTTCTGGTTGGTGGTTTGGAACATTTTTTATTTTTCCAAATCATCCCAACTGACTAATATTTTTCAAGATGGTTAAAACTACCAACCAGATTTGGTTATAGACTAGCCATTTTGGGAATGGTCAACATAGCACCTATTTCTGGTGAAATTGGAGGATGGTGCAAATGGCATTGTTTTAACCATTTATAGCCAAGGATCTAAGGAACCATAGAGGAATATAGGATCATTAGTATCATATATTGATCTTATAACCAATTTATAGAGGAATATTTTTCACCACCATTACCATTGAAGTATAAATCAACCACCAACCAGATATATATGTCAATTTGGGACATTGCCATGAGTGCACTGCCTTGACAGGTTGGTCAATCGCCAGGGACCCTTGGCTCAGGAGCGGAAAAGGTGCCCGTTCGTTTGCCCTTGGTTGGGCATGTGGTTTCGTCATTGGTAGCGGAGCCAGGCGAATAGGGCCTGGCTCCGACGGGTAGGAACCCGTGCCGGAGCGCCATGAGTGCGGCGTCTTCGAGCGCCGATGCCGGAGGGCATGTGAGGATGTTTAGCGGCGACAATGAGGACGCCAAGGAGTATAAGAGATGGAAAACCTGGGTAGCAAATAAGTTGCTCACTTTGAGCGACAAGGTTCCGAAAGAGGCTCATGGAGCCTACGTGTACACTCTTTTGAGTGGCAAGGCCTTAGAGTGTGTGGAGCACCTGGACCCTGCCGAGTACCAAAAGGAGGATGGACAAGCTGTGTTGTTCAAGCTGCTGGATCAACGGTTCCCTCAGAAAGACAACACAGACGAGATGGCAGAGGTCCTGAGTGCGGTCTTCTCCCTGAAGGCGACCGAAGGCGAGTCGCTGAAGACTTGGGTGAGTAGGGCATCTGAACTCTTCGACAGGTGTCAGAGGAAATGCAATGTCTCACTCCCGGAGGAGGCACGGGGATGGATAGTGCTCAGGCGATCAGGCCTGAGCGAGGAACAGCAGGCGGTAGTGCTTGCCAGATCCCTGGGAGTGCTAACAAGGGAGGAAGTGAGTCGGGCCATGAGGTCGTGCTACCCCGACTTCACTGCTCCTCGCAAACGAGCACTTGGAGCTGGCATGGTTGAGGACGAAGTTTTCCTCGAAGCCTCTGGTGATCTAAGTGAACCTTGGGATGAGGGTGAAACCTTTGAAGATGTGGAACAGTTCCTTGCTCAGCATGAAATGGTTGAGGTAGAGAATGATGATGAGCCCGAGATCTTCGCAGAGCGTGACGTAGCCGACGTCATGGCTGTCTCTTGGAAAGAGAAACGCAAGGAGATCACCAAGATGCAACGAAATCGGCGTTTTAGCCAAGCCGCGGATTTGAAACGTCAGTTTCGGGTCGAGGTGGAGGAGATCAAGAAAAAGACTCGTTGTCACCGATGCGGAGTCATTGGCCACTGGAGTCGAGAGTGCAAGCGGCCCCGAACTGAGGGCAAGAGCAGCGGCAAGGGTGTTCCCTCTGGCTCGGGAGGTCAATCCACTGCCAGGAAGGAGTCGGGAACGGCCTATGTGGAGCACTTCATTGCTTCAGTTGGGGCCCCTGTCACCATGATCGACAGACTGCGAGACCGACTGAGTCACACCAAACCTACTGAGATGCAGGAGGTCAACGAAGCCCTTCTGGTTTCGAATCCTGGGTTTGGAGTGCTGGACAGCGGTTGTGGCAAATCGATCATGGGGAAAAAGACTTTTGAGGGCTTCGTTGAACTGTGGAAGGCTCAGGGTATTCCTGTTCCAGAGCCTTATGCAGAGACCAATCATTTTCGATTCGGCAATGGACAGCGTGAGACTTCTGAGATGTCAGTCAAGGCACCGGTGGTTCTGGCTGGTAAATCTGGAGTTGTGAGAGTGGCCCTGGTGAAAGGAGAGGCCCCTCTGCTGGTGTCTCGAAAAGCTTTGCAATCTCTACAGGCCAAGCTGGACTTTTCCAAAAACGAGCTCACGGTCTTTGATAGCCAGGAAGTGATTCCCCTGCAGGTGAACAGCGCTGGACAGTATGTGGTTCCACTGCTTGGCAATGCCGTCGAGAAGGCTCCTCCTTTTGAGGAAGTGATGATGTCCGAAGCCGCCGTTGACAGTGAACTCAGTGTCAGGGCAGATGATCCTGCCGATGATGCAGCAGCGCCGCCTGAGACGACAGAGCCTACAGTTTCCGACACCACAGGAGACAATGCAGTCTTGTCCAAATGGGAAATAGATCACTCCTTTTTAGATAAGGCAACAACCACTGGTAAGCAGGGCCCCAGCTGGAGGAGTGTAAGACATAGAATCATTGTGAATCGGGATAATGGGGAAGTAATCCGAGATGAATCAATAGATCATAACTTGGGGAAGCACATGTACCATCAGCCATTGCCCAAACATGTTATGCACACTCGAACAACCTTTTCGTTTATCCCTGAGGAGAATTCACAGGTGATTTCTGAGTGCCTGAGTGTCCGCCAGCTTCGCCAGTTAGAGACACAGGTCCAGAGGTCACACCAAAGGCAAGAGATCTTGGCAGCAAGCTGTTCGACACTGATGGTAGCAGAAGTTTTCTCACCACCACGTTTTTCTCCTGTCGTCAGTGCCCAGGGTTTTCGAGCAGTGTCGTTTGACATCAAGAATGGATATGATTTCACGGTTTCAAGCGTTCGTAGGCAGGTGAAAGAACAGTTAGCTGCAGATCCGCCCCGACTGCTGGTACTGTGTCCGCCGTGCACAAATGAGGGAGGCTGGTTTCATCTGAATAGCTTGACCATGGACCCTCAGGAGGTGTTGAGACGCAGGGCCCAGAGTAGGATGTTTATCCGTTTTTGCTGTGAACTTTTCAGGCAACAGGTGGAGCTAGGTGGCCAAGCACTGTTTGAGCACCCCTCTGGATCACGTCTGTGGACTTACCCTGAGATGCTGAAGCTGTTGCGACAGTACCATGTGGTCAAATGCCATATGTGCCGTTTTGGCCTGCGCCTGCCTGGAAGTCAGAACTTCATCCGCAAGAGCACGAAACTCTTGGTCAGTGACAAAGCCATGGAAGTGCTAGGTCGAACTTGCCCTGGAAGAAAATGTTCTCACCATGTATGTCATGATGTTGTAGCTGGAAGTCATCCCAAAGTAGGTGCAATCAGCAAGTTTGCAGGTCAATACACTCATGCCTTTGTTGAAGCTGTGCTAGACACCGTTCCAGAGTATCGCAACCAAAGCGCAGTGCTGGAGGTGATGTCTGAACCCAGGCCTAGCGAGTCCAGTGTGTCTGAAGTCCTTGCCGCCAG